AACAATAAACTGAATAAAATATAGATTCCTGTTTTTTTTCTAATCACTCACACAATTGTGTTTATGTTTGAAAAATATATTTACATTAAAAAACAATGCCTTTAAAATTTTGTACTGTTTACAGCTTATCAATATGCCTTTACCTACAAATATTCTCTTGAATAAATACTTCAATTAACCCTTGAATGTTTTTTTTTTGAAATTTTATCCAAAGGTTTCTGTCTGGTAGTAACCATGAAAATTTGAGTATTATCAAACAAATAATCATGACTGTTGATTTAAACATGTAATTAATCAAATTAAATTATTCCTTTTATTTAAAAAAGGGATTTTTCCAGTGTTGATTTATCCTAATTTCTGTGTACATACATATAAATATAACTAACGATCCAACATCTTTAGATTATAACTTTACATCATATAAGGCATAAATAACTGAAAATTACACCGACTGTTTCTTTCACAAAAATATATTGAAGCAGTGGAAAGTAATCTAATTAAAGAATAATTTGTATACTATTAATTTGACCACAAATGTCAATGTACATTTTAGATTTGCAATATATATATATATATATATATATATATATATATATATATATACATCTTGCCTAGAACTCTATGCTTAACCTCGACATAATAGATAGAATAATTTTCTAAGGATTATTTTAAAGTTACCCATCAAATTTGCATTCTGTTCTCCACAGGTTTCATAGTTGAAGAGATTCGTGGTGATACCAGTTATTTGTTCATAGTAGAAAGAGCAATGAGTTGATTGCTTGAAGGTCTGCCTTGTAGTATAAATAAATGCCTACATGAATATAGATTATGGAATGTTTTTTCTCTCCCTCTCTGTATATTTATCCTAGTCAGATATCGGTTTTCATCTGGGTAGTGACTGCTGGGTGTTGTGGTCATGAAATGTTGAAGGAGTAGACGTTGAATAGTCATCTTTGGTCTACGAGTACGTATTAGTGTGCATTTTTACAGGAAAGAATGTGGTATGTCACCTGATGTGTAATAATACTGCAAATGATGGTATAATTTTTAAGGCAGTGGTTGTCTTAGTGTTTATTTCTCGCTTTAGAAGAATGAAATTTCTGTTACAGACGCTCGTATAAGGTAGAAGAATGGCCTATATGAGACTCATTGGATTTCGAAATGAAGTTGGAGTTGGTGACCCGAGTGTTGTTATAGTGTGCAGTTAGTAAGTAGCGATGTTTGTTATCGTAATGTTAGTGGTAGTACGGGATAACTGGGTGACAGGTTAGGATATTGTTGTTGATTGTAAGCTAAGCAAATATGTGGTTATTTATTTCCTGTTATAGTATTACATGACAGAACGAGTTGTTCAAGATAGGTGATCCTGAAAAAAACGTCCATGGAATCACATGTTTCTCTGATGATCGGAGAAATGCACAAGCTCATTGTGTCTAATGAATAAGTGTCCCGTTCAGTATATCGGTTGATCACCAAACAAGTTTTAATGCATTTTAATCCTTTGATTAAAGATATGATTTATATGGGTTTGCGTGTGGTATGCAGCGTCAGTGTGAAGCAGGTTGTCAAAGAAATAACACTTATCTGTCATTATTAAAGAATTATACTCGATCAAAGTAAATCGATAAAATATGACCGATAATTTTAATCCATAAAAGTCCGGTAAATATCGTGTTTTTCATTCAGACTTCTGAGTTGGCTGAAAACTAAGCGAACGATTTGTTAGTAAAAACATACACTACTTCCTAAAAATTAGTAGCGGAACGGCATTCTAATAAAGAATTTTCATTTAATTCATACAAATAATTATACTTTTACCAATAAAGATGGAGAATTGTGGGCTTGAAACTAGGATGAATTAGAACAACATATGTAATTTTCACAATGGGAATCTTTAATATACTAGGATGAATGTTTATATAAACTAAAACATTTTTAGCAGTAAAACAAGTTTATCAACAAATAATTATCAAACCATGAAATGAGTGATTCCAATCTAACTAGATCTCAGAATTACATAACTGACAATACAAACCTATTATTCGATATTTTTTATGCTGCTCAATTTGTTATGCTGGTGACCAACTGTGGTTGGCTTAAACCAATGTTATTTTTTGGTTGGCCTAAACAACCAGAAAGCAGAACAAAACGAAATCACTCTATAAACATCTTTTGCCGCCGGCTTCATCTTCTGAAACATGGGTTTATTGACAAAAATATTTGTTTTAATAAACTTGCAAACCAATTGCGTTTATGCATTTTCGAAAATTTCCAAAGGCTATCACAAATCTGAATACACAAAAACTCAAGCACTATGTCCTCGATTATCCGTATAATTTCTTCATTCTCTGTTATTTGAAAAAAACGAAGAGCAATGTACGCAGAATCCATAGGTCAAGCACATCAAGCAGTCAAAATTGACTTAATGGAAGCAAGATAAATCGTAAATACGTGCAGGTGAGTATAAATTGTGGCTAATCACTGTTCGAAACCTTTTGTAAATGTTTTCCGAAAATTCAGTTTAAATACTTATGGAACAGGAGTTTTATGCTGAGAATTCTTTACTGCATTCAACTAAATGGTACTGAATAAAGTGAGCGTTGTTGCTAGTTTCATCTCAGTTACAAACTAATTACAGTATAGGAGTAATTACAGAAATTGGATCATCCTTTTATCTATCCCAAAAAGCATGAACATCGATTAAGTTTAATAAAGTAAAGTCAGAAGTCGATATCACACTTTTCCAAAAGTTAGTGAATAATATTGTAAATGTTTATTTTATTGCCTAATCTTATTATCAATAGACAAACTGATTGAGACACCAAATCCATTATTGAGCGATTTACGTTGTAACTTTAAACAGAACATTATATTTACCCAAAATAATAACTATACTTCTCTGATCCAGGGAAGGTGCTATGAATGGTGTTCCTCAAAGACTGACATCAGACAGACGACAAAACAAAAATTCAAAGTCTTCAGAGTAGACATCATTGTATTGACGTTTCGGAAGGGAAATCACTTATTACATAAAACAAGTATAAAACACTGACTGAATTCACATTTTAATTTGTTATCTTGAATATAAACAGATAACTGACACTATCAAGGTAATATTCAGTTAGCATTAGATTACTGTCTTTAAATATCTGATGGATGTGAAAACTTATATCATTCCATTCACTAAAGTTACGGTTAAAAAAATCGCCTGATATCTTCACGATCCATTCCATCTAGAGTTGAAAATATAATAATTTAATGAATGTATGTTAGATTTCATACGCAGTGTGTAAAACGTATCGCCCACTGACGATGCACATTATGGAAAATTAAACATTTTGGAGTTTTTAATTGTAAACATTTTTCGTGGTAGACTTATCACTCGATTTTTAACAAACCTGTCGTTTTGCTCAAAATTCTTTTAAACTAGTGCGTTTAGAATTAAAATTAATAATTTTTTTTCAAAATAAAAAGAGCAATGACGGGATTTCATTTTGTTTGTTACATCTTACCAAATTTATTATTTCTACTCCATCTTCTATGACAAAACTGACTTATTATTCGTGATTTTGAGTTATCTTGTTGTTAATATCCAAAACTGAATTTTGATCAGTATATATATATATATATATATATATATATATATATATATATATTCTACGAGGATTGCCTTAATAGTCATTATATTTCAAGTGACTAACATAATACGGATTGCGATTAGCAGTAAAATCCATGGAGCATGACAATTAGTCGAAATTTAGTCTTGAATTTCAACAATGGGATAACCCACACTCATATTGATGATGGTACAAAAATCACATAAGTAGAACGGATTATTGGGTGTCTGCATTTAGCGGCTCAATAGATAACGAGTCTGAGTCCCATTGTGAACACCAACACGAATGTAAATAAGCCCAGCTGACAAGTCTCAAACTGCACGAAACCCGTGTACTTGATTCCATAAAAATAATGTAGTTTTCGAGACGATAGCCTTGATTACTAAGAGAGTAACCGATGTCATGCTTTTCTAGTCCTCATTGATGATTGCATTCTAGTGATTAATTTACAATGTAGTGCCAGCTTAAAAAAAGTAAACATTCCTCGATTTGAACAGTTAAATCATCGAATCTGTAACATTATCAAACCCTGGTTCGAATCTCATGGCGGAAACTAATTTGTTGAATATTACAGATACACCTTGCCAACGATCGATAACTAGCAATAAAATTAAAACCAGGGTTTCTTTATGGCTGACTCTAATCCCCTAACATTATAAAATACAACAGCCACAGTTAAGAACTCACAACTCTCCATTATCGAGAAACAACATTTTATACATTTACACTAACAATTTCTTCTCAATAAACACCTAAAATTGTTTTGTTTTGTTATTAATTGAAATTGTCAATCCCACAAGTCTGTAAGAAGCTGTTAAAATTCATTAATTCTTTATATTCTAGATTTAAATGTAAAATATGCGTTATTCACATTGCCAAAAAGGATGATACAATGCATTGTTTTAGTATTTTCACAGTTAAGTATTCAGTAGAAACCAATCAATTGTTGTTGTGTGTTTTTTTTTACAAATAAGACAGTTTTATTTAGAATGTTTAAGATAAATAAACACAGAAACTAGCAAATAATATTTGTTGCTATTTGGAACATTTTTCGCTTCTGTATTATGAACGAATTGCTTAGATTGACTTTTTTTTAGGAAAAAAAGATGTACACAATAGTTCAATTTGTGATGTTTTTTCATGAGTATATTAACTTGGGAATTGATCATTTCTCCAATACAAAACACATAAATTATTTACTTATTTTAAACCGGACAATCAAAATCTCTCAGTCATAAAAAGGAGATAAGAGAAAGTGTGCACGAAATGTTTAAAAGTTGAAAACTATTTTCATTCTATATAAGACATTCATTCAACATAATAAATAATATTATTCATAAGATAAAAGCTAATGAATTTCATGACGACTAATGAACAAGAGAATTATAGAGAGTTAATCATTTGATTCATAGCAACCTCATAAACTGTATTATCATCTTCATCACTATCCTCATCTGAATGATTACCACTAATTGTACCACTATTACTGCTATCATCAGAAGGATTAGGAATATTGTATAAAAATGAATCTTCGTTGACATTAACACTACTTAAGCATTCATCAATACCTGGTAAATGAATTGAACTAGAATCTTCATCAAGAAAATGAAATCGTCCTGACTGAACAGATGATAATGAAGATGATTCATGTTGTATAGAATCTTTATTTGGTAACGATACAGGTGGAAGAACACAATCATTAGAATTAGTATCAGGACAACAATCAGACGATATCATTAAAATTTCTCGAAGACCGGCATTTTCAGATCTTAATCGATGTAATTCTTCTTCTAATTCAGCAGCATACGCATCACCACGATCAGTAACGTCACGGACAATAGAAGCTACCGTAGTAAATTGTTCAGTTAATGATTGACCTATACCATCTGTTATCTCGTCAACTTTACCTGAATTTGATTTTTGTGATACAGATTGTGAATCAATGGAATTAGTTGAACGTGTATTAACTGATTTTGGACCCGGGTAAGAAGATTTTATACATCGATTTTCGCTATTATCAGGATTTATAACTGATTGAACAAGATGTTCAACTTGATAGGTTCTCATTAGTTTAGAAATCTGGAAAGATCAAATGCAACAAATAAGTGGTTTATATGAGAGGTAAAATGAAGCAATGATTATTACACGATTACTTTCCAAACAACTCTGGTCTTAAGTACGACTACATAAAATATTAATATGAAAGTACGAAACGTTACACTAACTAAACGAGAAACGAAATAGCTATTTCATGATTATTATAGAAAACATATAAAGATATACATAATAGTATATGGAAACTTCAAGAAAATCTCAATGTTATAAATACAACTAACTTGTCCACGATATTTAGTCATAATCATATCTAAAGCAGTTTGATGTTCATCAAGGGAATTTCTCAATGTTTTATTCTCAATTTTCAACTGTTCTAATTGTTTGTTCTCAGCTGCAAGACAGATAATCAGTGGACCTTTTGGTTGATTAGAGACCCGTTTGGAGAATTCGTCAAACTCAAGAATTGTTTCTTGACACTGAAGAAAACAGAAATAATATGAAAAAAATAATGGTGGTAACGATAACATGAAATTCAACATATCAGGATCTCGTTTCTATCAGAAGACACGATTACACAAAGCGTAGAATTTAGTGGAAAAATAGTGCCAATGTTTTTTAATGATATACTGATTGATATTTCGGAAGGTATAACTAAGGAATATCACACTTTAATTTCAACACATTTAATCATGCTGAGCTATAAAACCTCCTAATATTGGCAAAATCTCAGTCGTACAGAGCTTATATGATCAACTTTGACCACGATCATGATCCGTACACCTCTGAGGAAAATAACTAACCCTAAGAAAAGAGATATGCATCAGAGATCTACAAGCAATCAAAACAGCATCGGATAGTAAGGTACAGTTTCTCAAGCTCTTCAATTTACTTTAAAAGTGAATAATATAACAGCAAAAACATGGAGTAAATATGATGATACGTACAAACTTTTAACCAATAATATGAGTAGTTGAGTACAACTTACAAAAAGCTGTCTAAAACTATACTTTTACTTGAGAATTTATAACCATACATAATAATTATACAAACCTAATTTCATTGCTTTGATGAAACAGAACAATACATTTTGACATAACAATAATGTTAAATAAAATAATTTTAAATCAATAAATTTGTCAATCACCTGTCTCATACTTAGTAACTGTGCTTGTAATTTGCATAGCTGTTGTCTTAATATATCGACTGACTCTTCACGTGCACGCAATCGAGATACAAGTAGCTGAACATCATCCATAACTTTATCAAAGTTGTACTTTAACATGAAATCAAAAGTCTAAAACAATAATAATAATAACAACTGACAAATTAAGTAATAAATATTTGCTGTAACAACATGAATAAGGTAGTTATTTTATTGGTTAGAAAAAATTTCCATCCCAAAGAATATAACCGCAAAAAAATAACAGTTCATTTAACAAATTAAAGTGAATAGAACTATTTGACAATTAAAAATGTTACTAATAAATTTTTTAATTAAAATTACAATGTTAATTCAATTTCGCGATATACCATAATATTGATAGTTTGGTAAATACAAACCTATCCCTAAACTAATCAGTTTTATTCTCTGAACACTCCATATTATCTCCCCTTGACAAGTGTTTAGAATAATGTATATGGTAAGGATTATGTACTTGCAAACTAAATATTAAATGACTGAAATGATTTGCATACTATACAATTCCAGAGACAATTAGCTTGAAACGAGTAAAATCTATGAAAGAGTGGTAGAGTTGAAACACAAATAGACAACAATAAATTATCACATGTATTTATCAGACTATTAATTAGATCTCTTATATTGGTTTTCAAAATCAAAATTGATATTCCCTAGAGATAACGGGGATACAGATTGGGAATATAAGTAGATCTAGTTTATAATGCTAATGTTATCCTCTATTTTATTTATATATTTAAACACATAAATATTGGTACACAGGAGCATCATATATATATGCGCCACACAAATCTCATTTGATTTGTGTGAGGGCTGTGATACTGCCTGAGTGTCCAAATCGAAGCAGGTGATTTTCTTAGGGGGCCACACCCGAAGCCTTTGACCTAAAGATCCTATCCGCAAGGTAGTGGAGCATCGTAAGGAGATGCAGTCTCATGGTAGCCGGTGAACAACAATTGGTCCATACGCCATTTGTTCCTTCAAGATACTGGAGCCCATGTACACGATTGGTTCGGAATCAGGGTTTTCCAACTCTCCTAGGTGGACTTTCCGTGTCCACCGACCCGGTTAAAGCACTGGACATTCGCTTTCCGTCCTCTCAAGTACACCCCCACCATGAGAAGGCAGTGAGAAGGACTTCCCTGGCAGAGGCTATATACGCGTGGCCATGTGAGAGCATTTCGAGAGGGAGAGCTGACTTTCCCTACTCTCGGCCGTACCAGAGCAGTTAACGCAGAGTAAATAAATACAACAGATTTGTATTCGGCATTGATTAGGATATATAACAATAAAGTGAATTATGAAGCAGAGAAAATGAATTAAGCTTACTATTTGTCAAGAGAATAAATCAAGTTAATTAATTTCTTTATTTAACAATTTTATGAAAAAAATAAACAAACATTGAAAAATTAGTCAAACAGGATAATCAATTTAATCTAGTTAGTTATCTTTTCAATATTCGACATTAATCTCTCTTATAAACATTTCAAAATTAAAAACTTTCATTCTTGAACTAAATCAAAATAATCAAATGTTTATCATCAAACTTTCGGTCTAAAAAACTCTTCACCTATTTGAAGAGGTGAATGTTATTTCTAACCCTTACATAATTAAAGTATAACTCAAACCACCAATGGTTATTATATTTTCCAAATTTAATGAGTACGTGATGAGAATATCAGAATAATTGTAATGTGATCACCAAGTCACTCTTAACTTTTATTGAAAATCTTGAAGTTGTAATTGTCTATTTTTAAACAAACAATAAGTCCCTCATAAAACAAACACTAACAATCCCTATACATATCATACATAGACATCATTTTCAAGACAAAAAAGGACTGATATATATATAAAGTGAAAAATTAAATACAACAACAAGTAAGAAGATAGTTTATTATCAAAATTTAAAATTTATTTAACAGATTGCATGTTAATCCATGTAATATGTATAATTATGTACAGAATAGTTTTTTTCAGATTGATGTATTATATTATATGTAAAAGAATATTGTTGACATTCTTTTCTTGAAATTTTTATTATAAAATAGCAAATTGTTGATAGAGAATTCGTCGAACTTCAAAGTATGTACCACATAATAAACCTTCTAGTAATAATTTACCTGCTTCAGATCGTTTAATTGCAACACAATTATCTACTACTAATATACCACTGACAAATTCTGCCATTAAACCTTGTGATAATAAGAGTTGTTTCAACTAGAAATGAAAACAGGAGAAATCAAGTTTAATACAAAGTAACTAGTACGCATAAATTTTTATTGAATTATCATTAATTGAAAGTTCATTATTCAGTAGTCATACAAATATTTTGTGCTACACAGTTCATTCAATAAACAAATAGATGAACAATTCTGACATGTAAATTTACAGTTGCCCATATAACTCAAACAGGAGATAAAGTCAATAAATTCATTGATAAATACTCATTATTATCATTAGATTAATTCACAAGTGTACTTGTTTCGGTTAACCCCTATTACTGCATAAATCAATCCCAAATTTCAAGATATTTAGCATTTTTAAGAAATGTTGACCATTCTAGAAAAATCATAGACCAGTACAATCGTTTATGAAACTCTTTTAGAAGGATAACATTTTGAAAATGACAGAGTCCAATTATAGGTAAAGATTGTATCTTTCATAGTGTTTAGTATTAAAATGGCTGGATAGTTTAATTGTTATTCTACACAACATTTGCAAAACTTTAAACAGTGATCGAATTTTCGGTTTCTCTGTAAATGCATAATCACTTTATTCTGACAAGTGTTTTTGATCTATTCTCTTCAGGAACTCTGTCATGTTTATAAGGATTAACATACCCATCGACTGTTTCTTTAGATTGATTACTGACTAGATGACTGATTGACTTCTACCACACATCCTTATACGTTCCCCAGAATTTACTTCTGAAGTCCACGACTGGACAGATATAAACAATATTTAAACAGGATACGTCGAATCGATAAGAAAAAACTAGTCCATAAATCAGCAATTAACAGAAATTACTCAGTGAAATATCGCAGTACATCATAAAAAGCAAAATGATTACACAACTATTGAAATAAAACATTGAACATACATCGGATAACTTTGGTTCATTTACAAAAACCGTTTTATGTTGTCCAATAGGGCCAGTAGGAAGACTGAGAACTGGTAACTGATCAGCAGCCAGTGGTGTTCGACTTCTCAATTCTAAATTATTTCCAGTGGACATTTCCACATCACCATTGTTTTCAGTATTATTATTGTTGCTTTTTTCCTTAATATGATAATCAAATTTATCATCGAGCGATACAGTTGCTTCAACCCAAGCTAATTCATAATCGCGTATTTTCGTGAATTTCAAACTAGAAACTAAACTGTCTTTCATTCTTGCCTACGAAATACCGATAATAGATGTATACAAAAGGAAAATGAAGATTGAATAAAATTCAACATGAAAAGAGATTATCGTCAGTCAAACTGAAACTACGATAAATTGGCGAAGTTGTTTAGTTTATTCGATACAAAAACTAATACCATGAATAGACTTGAGTAAAATATTTTCGTTTTGGGGGTGTTAAATACCAAAAATACGATTTAGTAAGAATAAATTAAGTAAAGGATTTTGTATGGATTTAGGTTCTTTTTATTGTTGTTTTTTGTGCTAGATTAGTGTGATTTCTATTTACTTGACTTCTGAATTAATTCAACATAATTTTTGCTCAGTATAACATTAACTTTTATTAATTAGTCCCATGTAATTTTTGTTGAACCAACATTTATTCAGTATTAATTCTGTTAATCCGTCATCTACAACATAGGACCAGGCACATATATTCGTCGGTCCAAGTTGCCATACCTCATTAGCAAAACAAGATGAACACCAAATTCATAAAAGCAGTTACTTCAATGGTAGTGATATATAGAAGATTGTATATAAGGATATAATACAGGAAGAATTAGTTCGTAGAAAGAAAGGTACAAGGCAATTCTAATCTCACGGTTTAAGGGAAGACAAAGAGTGCATACACCTGCGCCATTGTGATCGATTCTGAGCCATGTCACACAGAGCCTCCAACTATTACTTACGATAGTCGCGCAGACCCCAACCAAGTAGTCTGCATCTGCCAACAAGGCTCAGACCAGAAATTAGTAACTTTATGGACCGATGCCACGCATTGGTTCTGTAATAATTCATTAGTTTAACGACTTTGTTAATCACTAGTCAATGCATGCAATCTGCATATAATGAAACATATTCAAATGTTAACCAAACTTCCAGGACTTCTGTCTGTAGTTATTGGATAGGGAAGAGAACAGGGAGCAGTTTAACCCGTTATTACTTAAGTTGGAGTTAGAAATTACTTACATACAATACATTTCGAGTGTATTTTTTACCAGGTCTTTATATCAGCAAGGGTGGATTAAAAACTACAGAATACATAACAGATGCTTCAGCATAGTTCAAAACGCCTTAGCGTACTCACAACCTCGAATCCAACCTAGGACCTTTAGGTCTCACAAAAATATCCAGTGGTTTATATGGTACCACTACTGTTCGGCACCATTGGAAGGGTAGTCGCCTCATTCTTGAAATGCCAGGCTTCATTAGTGCACTTAACATTTGGTAATCACTGTCACATATGTAAATGGTTTCTACTATTAACCTCTGATTATGCACACAAACGTACTCTAAATATGGTTACTGAAAAAGAAAGATAAAATAATGAAGATATTTGATTGTTGCTGTCTTTAAAGTACCTTTCGCATACAGTGCAACTAGTCACGATTTCTGAAGAGTTTTAAAATACGTAATTTATCAACTTGCATTATTAAACAGAATCAACAAAAATAGTTAGGATACCTGATGTTAATAATTGTTTATTTGATTCGTATGAGAAAATTCAAGTCTAAAAAACGCTAGAAATCGGTATTTGATGACGTTTATCAACAAGGACTAAAATAGAATACCCAAGGGGTTCAAACAGATTGACACTTTATCGTTTCATTTTAAATATTGAACATCTTCCTATTTCATGTGTCTTATTTGGACGTTTATTTTGTGGAATTCTATGCATAGGCCCGCGTTCTACGAAAAGTATAAGGACTAATTACATTTTATATCACATAGCAATGATAACACAGAGCCATAAAATATATCATTTAGCACACCTGATAAATATCTCCTTCTTTTGTACAATTCACAATTTCTCGTGGATGAGGAATATGTATGTAGTTGGGATCTAACAGCATAACACCGCGACAATAATTTGCTAAATGATCAATAGCCGGTGCATTGTTACCAACTAAAATTATTTCCTGTGGTCTTAGACCAATTAGAATACGTTTCATAGCTTCCCCATCTGATCGACCCTTAAAAAACAGAAAAAAGTAGTAAATATTAAAAATAATTTTAAAATATTACTAATAATATCACAAATGGTTTATTTGGCATTGCTTTATCTTTTCCTTAACATAAATACATACTGTACTAGCACATTTTTAGACACAAACCTTGGCATGTACATAAATTGGAAGGAAATATTAGTTAATATTCTGTTGATGATAAGAGTTTAAATGAGTTAGTAGACAAAATAAAGTTATGGTAAAAGGAAGTAGATAATATAATTTATTTTTTACCTTAAATTAATATGATCAGATAAATTTTTGATTAAAATTAAAATTACGAAATCCTTGAAACCATAAACTTAATTCTTTCACCTATCTTGAAAAGATCATGAAAGATAGGAATCTTTCATGGTTCCGTGTCAACAAACATAAATAAACTGAACTACCCCGATCGATCTTAAACCAACCATGAAGAACAATAGCTAATCAAGTCGTTGACCATGAAGGAAAAAGTACAAACTCATAAGTTACGATATGGAAGAAATATTTACAATTGTAACAAATTTCCGGTGAAGTTGTTTTACACTAAGTTGCATTCAAGAATTAGTTGCTCTATGTTATTTAACAAGATGCAGTCGCCTATTAAAAATCGATTTGTCTCTTAATCACTACGTTATAGACTTAAGTATTCTATACACTTGCTTGAAAGTGAATAAGCATTGTTAAAACTAACACAATAGGTTCACACCAAAACAGACATTTAATTATTCGGTAATATTGAGCCGTTTTCATAGCATCTTTAACGGTTTACACAGAAAATGGAAATAAACGATATTATATATATATATCCCTTCATATAGACAAGATACACACAAAACGTAACGTCAAGTGACTTCTTGTCAACTATTTAAAAAATACAATCTAATGTCTAGCCAATGTCAAATAAACAGTAATGGTAGAAAACGATGGATTTGAAGTCTGTACAAACAACCTTAAACGATAACTAGTACTGTAAAAAAAACAATGAGCAATCTTGTTTTTTTTGAAAATCACAATCACAAATATAAGAACATGAATAGATGAAGCCATCAAGTATTGATAAAACTTCCAGTATATTTCTAGTAAATTTTTAATAATATACAGAACATATTTTTTCAGTATAAGTCAATTTTGACCTAAGAACTACAAATCAAATGTTTACCAAATACTACATAAATCACATAACAAATAAAGTAATAGATTAAGAAATCTAACTAAAATTCAAATTGAAATTGACATAGTAAGATAACTAAATAGGTGAAAAATAGGATAAGGAAATGTAAAATGCTCATCGATATATTGAATATTCGTTAGTGACATTTCGGCAGAACGTGAATGCAACTATTAAGACGGATGTGATTATGAGCTAAATCACCTGAACTTTCTAACTAAACGCATCCGATATATAAATACTCGTTTGATATTTTTATACATTATAATGAATATATAGCTTTCTTATTTGGACCATCTTGAAGATTTAACTAAGCAACTTGCTTGACAATCTCCTCTAGATGGTTTACATATGCTAACTGATTAACTTGATTTTCTAAATCCGCCAAAATACATAGAACATATTAATATGTAAACAATATCAACCCTTCATTTTTATGAGTCTTAGCTAGGAAGTGTAAATATGCTCCATATAGTTGATTATTGATAAGCATGCAGATGTGCCACATCTAGGCACGAGACTTAAAAGATATTTCGTCAATTGTCAAACTACTGAGATCAAAAAGACGGATACTGCTATAAGCAAACTGGATATTCAACTAGCTTTAGTCAAAATAAATTAGATACATAAGGATTAGTAAGTATATATTTGCAGAGGACAATCTAGTACATCACAGTAACAATTGGAGTAAGTGTACTCAGTAAACATGTAGTACACGGTAAAACAAGATCTTTTAACTAATAAAATCAAATACTACTTATGGGTTAGGGAGTATACTTTAAGATAAGCCCCCTTCAAAGCACTTTACAAACAGACTAACTTCATAATCCAAAAATACAACTTCACATCGTAGAGGTATTTCCAAATGATGGGTTACACAACGAGTATTAGAATCCAAAACGTCAAAAGTTGGAGTTCTTGCGACCAAATAATCCAGTATTGACGTAGATGCAAAACCCGATGAGACAATATCTGAAGTGGTTTTTGTGTCTAAAAGTGACAAAGAGTACTATATTTAGCAACAAAGAAGAAATAATTTGAAAATGCCTATTTTATCTAATTAAATTGTAATGAAAAAACCCGGTACATTATCTTGTGATTATAGAATATAAGAACTGAATATTTCTTGAGAAATATGATTAACATTAAACCTGTAGGCCTCCCCTTCTGTAAGAGTCAAAGACAATTTTATTGAACTTAGTTAGGATGACTTAAAAAATGGTACAACAAACGGGCGCTATCAAGGAAATAACAGATAAAACACTTTAATATAATGTTGGTGACTACTCAAGTTGAAAAGACGAATTGGTTTAGCCGGTCTGTTTTCGCTGTGGTTAGTGATTTGCACCTTCGAAGTGCAGGGTACTCCTACAAGACTGGCAGGATTCTCATCCTGTACTCACCCTGGGTAGTGTGGGAACAGAAGTAGTCAAGAAGTTCGTGTATCTGGGTAGCTGCATAAGAACTGGTGGTGGCGTGTGTGATGAGATCAATTCATGTATAGTGAAAACCAGAATGGCTCGTACTAATCTGGGTCACCTTTGGCACCTTCGTGATGTCAGTCTGGCTGTAAAAGGTCGGATCTACAACGCGTAGGTGAGAGCAGTATTGCTTTATGCTTGTTAAATCTGTCCTCTCCGAGTTTAGGATGTTAGACGACTCTCGGTGTTTGATCACCGTCGTCTCCGAGGGATTGCTGAGATCCAACAGCAACACCATATTAGTAATGTAGAGGTTCAGCATCGTGTGTTCGGGTACAGAGACGATAAATTAATTGGCGTCACTATCTTGAAACATCGACTTCGGTGGCTTAGACATGTCCTACGAATTGAATGTAACTTTTTTAACTTGAAGAATTTTTTCTGGTTGTACCTTTGCTAATTGAACTACTTCTCCCATTATTATTATTTCACTATCATACACCCTGCTTTGCTTTGGGCACCCAGGCAGTATTACAGCCCTCACAAAAATCGAATGACTTGTGTGGCGCATATGTATTTAGTGAGTCCTTGTATCAATGTTTATGTGTTTCAATAAATAAATAAAATAAATAAATAAATAAACTATCATACACTAATTTCTGTTCGTTATTGTTCCCCTTTTTCTTATACCCACTTTACATTATTTATCTCTTCACATCCCCATTCCTATTATGTAGCGCATATGTATCTGATGCCCCTTTGTACCAATATTTATGTGTTTAAATAAATAAATAAATAAGTTAACTTCAATAGCCACAGATTAAGAAGCTATTAGTGAACTGCATTTGACTTTACAAAATCAAATCGATACTCAAGTGGCTATATACATGCCTCACTGATGGATGATGGCAAACATGAAACTGTTGTCCAAAGTTTCTCATTAGTTAACAACGAATATTTAATACAATAGTGAGTCGGTACGTTAAGTTATCGACTTCGGAAGTCACAAAACAAACTTGATCGATAGAATCAAACCATCACTAAGAAAACATCAATGTGAATATGTACGTAGTTGAATCAAAATGCTTGTAAGCAATAAATTGTATGCCTGCAAATGAGTCCAAAATAATCAAAGCTAAATAAGAGTCTATGATCAAAAGATCAGCGCTAAAATTACGTTAAAGAAACTATAAGAATGAAACATAAAAATGATAAACGTTAATCGAAATAGCGATTTACGAAATTAACTAATGGGTAATTTTAATCTTATAAAGAAAAACAAACCTTTACTTTTGATATCCCAATTCGGCAATGCTGCCTGACTGGAAACTGGTTCTGTTGAAGTGAACAACTCTGGATCAAGATGTGCTCCATATTCGTCCCAGTGAATCTGTTAATAGAATACAGTTAATTCCTTTTAGAAACCAAACAAAATATCTCAAAAATTGCAATATATAGTTTTAGTTCTAAGAACTGGTCGAACATACACTTTATAACCCAGTTCCATGGCTTTCAATCATATAATCTAGTCTCAAACTTGCTGCCGGGTATAAGTTAATATCATTCACATGCGTTTGATGCCGCCTCAATTTCGTTCGTATAAATTACGCAGAGCACCATACCTAAGAAACTAATATTAGGATCCATGATGTTACGGAGTATTGAGGACCTCATAAAAATGATGGCTCTGTTTTGTGTTCAGGAAGTGAACTGTGGATCTGTGATCACTTAGCTTACCAGATTCAATCATGTGTAACCAATAAATACACAACATTCCCAACAGATCCTACTAGTCTTTACATGGAGCCACCAAACAGTAATTTTGAGTTTTTTTTAAAGGAACAAGACACATTTAGATTATAATGATCGACAGAAACTCAAAAGCTGAACCTTCAAATCTATTTACCACCTCCAATAGTCGGAATCGATTTTCATAAATACACCTTGTGTATGAATACTCGGTCTAATAATTTAGTAAAAGAAACCTAGAAAATAACACAACAGTGATGCCACACCAAATAAATGCACAATATTATAATTCACTGTTTTACATGAAAATGAAGATTTCCCACTTAACTGACTACAACAACTAACTGATTGTTTTATTGTAAATAACGTTCGTAATCTTGAATCAGATATTTAATGATATCATCTGCAAACAGTATTGGGGTTAGTGGAGATGACCGAGTGTAGAAGCCACGAACCGACCTAAATTAGATAACCGCTGAACATCTGAAAGCACTGTATAGTTATTTTGTCCTAGTATAGCACTCCTCAGCAATATGCATCCAAAAATACACCAAGGATCCAAATTAACTCAGTTCGTGATCTCAGTAACATTCAATAACTCCATAAACCCCATATTATTGATCATTATGTGGTTACTATTAGCTAACTTTTAGAGTAAATTTCTGGGATTATATTGGGAAGCTATGACCAGTGAAGTTCAACTATATGGTGTGAGGTAAGTACCCACTGAACACGAAGAAAGATGGTCGCGCCATGTTGTGCATCGACTAAATGTCGGCATACAGACCGCGAGATTCCGGCCCAGTAATTTAGAGGCTACGCATTTAAGTCAGAGGTCATAGGCCCTGAGCTCGATTCTCGGTTGAATTGCGAGTGCATACTCCTATACTAGAACTAAACAGTTGCTCAGTGCCTACAGATCTTTAGTGGTTGTCTAACATAAGTCGATTCGTGATCTCAGTAATATTAATAACGACAACCAGCTACACAGAAGTTTGAGTGCTAGTCAAGATGATATCTTGCTAAATGATTTTACCTGGACTGATGATAACTTACCTTCTTTTCATTTTGAGGGAACAGCAATTGAGTTCGTTTAGCCACACGAAAAAACTGCCCACCAGCTTGGTTATGAAGCCCTGGATATATGTCATATCCAGCTTGATGCCGTCCAGAAGTTAAGTGAAGGTTTGTGACTCCAAATTGTTCCATATTTAAAGGTATACAAGTCTTAGGAAATAACTTAGTTGTATTGCTTGGAACAATTGTTTTCTTCGAATGATCTCTTGGTACGGACAACGTAAGAGAGATTGATTTTGATTTTTCAACGTGAGTACCTTCCTCTGAACCATATGGACGATTCGAACCACATGTTGATTCATTTTCCAATTCAGAATCACAGGATGGTTGCTTCTCAAGGATTCCTTCGGCAACTTGTGGTGAAACATCACTATGAGTAATATCACTTGCCGATGGCATCGGGATGTCTGAAATTTCACATTGTTATATTAAACAATTAATGGACCTTACGTGCTATTGAAAACAAAGGATGACGCTTATTGAGTAGAAAAACAAACTAAGATTACCCAATGCAATGAAATTTATGATCTATTAAAAGTGGTTTGTATGTGTGTTAGGTTATATCAGTATATTTCATAAGACGGTTGATTTTAACTTTCACTCCTGTTTTATGTATCGATATTGTTGGTTGTTTTGATCATTGTAAAATTTATTGAGCGAAATCTATTTGAAGTTTAGCGAGTGTCTTCGAAATTATGTTTATATACTTGGTGTACCTCTGGTTAGCGTTTTTTCTGGTTAGCGTTTTTTTAGCGAGTTGATTTTCTACTGGATGGGGTCGCTAACCCCATGCCCAACCCTCCTCCTTTACCCGGGCTTGGGACCGGCAGTAACCCCCAGAGGAGCTACAGGTCATTTCCACTGTACAGTTGTCTACGCAAGATACTTCGGATCCGATGGCCAGACACTATCAGCAACAAGATACTGTGGGAGACAACAGATCAGATTTCAACGGAGGAAGAAATCAGGAGGAAGCGCTGGAAGTGGATTGGGCACACTTTGAGGAAATCACCCAATTGCGTCACAAGACAAGCCCTCACATGGAATCCTGGAGGTCAAAGGAGAAGAGGAAGACCAAAGAACACATTACGCCGAGAAATAGAGACAGACATGAGAAGAATGAACAAGAACTGGATAGAACTAGAAAAGAAGGCCCAGGACAGAGTGGGTTGGAGAATGCTGGTCGGCGGTCTATGCTCCATTGGGAGTAACAGGCGAAGGTAACTAAGTAAGTGGTGTACCTCCAATATTTGTATAATCTAATACTCCCAGAATTCAACCGAGATCAACCATAGTGGGAACAATATGTAACTTGACAAAAAAGGATATTTTGCTGCAAATGGAGGAATATTAATTTGGGCTTCTCACTAGTCCTAGTGGATTGATGGCTAGCGAAACTCCGAAACGGATATCCGAATCTCGCTTAACATTAATCCTCATGCCACCTGTAGCTTGGTTAATATCTCCATCTCCCGATAGAGAGGGTGGTTATTGTGATACAGTGTGCTCTGTATTACCTTGCGGATATGAAACATAACTTGTGTATGCGTGTATGCTTTTGAGACATTGTTTCAGTACAAGTCAACAACCAATGGGGGAATGTCGAGGTTAAGACAAGGGTGCTAATTAAAAATAACAAGTCGATTGATAAAGCTATAAGCCATCAACGAAGGGCGTTAGTAAGTGCCACACACCCCAGACTATTTCCTACTCCTGAGTACAATGTTGGCTGACACAGACGTAGGTTGGATAAAACCAGTGGTGGATAAGTCAAAATGCCCCAATACACTAAGTCATGGACAGGTGATTCGAGTCATACACGTAGATGCACACGGCCTGGTTGGGTCTCATTTAATACTCATGACAAATGGCTGAAGATAACAGGTGACACGAGTCAAAATCGGTCATAGTAAGGCATATGAATTCATTCCATATTTCCCTCTACATCCCGAGTTAACATCATTCTTTTATCATATTTCCACCCTTTGAATTGTATCTCTTACAATGCAGTTGTAAATGATTTTTCTGATTTCTTTATTTGATAATTTCTAGTGTGTGTGTACGTGTGCTGATGTAGGATGTATTGTGGACTAATCTACAGTCATGTTGTCTTTCGTTGGTGATAACTGAATGATAAACTTAGCATTTGCAATCCGACAACTCTGGTGTAGAATGATCGTGGAGTTCCACTTTGCTTTCACAGCTTTAAGACGAGAACCAACCATCCTTGAACTATCATTCGGAAGTTTACAAACATAAACGCTGTTAAAATCACAAAACTGGGTCACTTGTGTGCTACGTCTATTGAAAGCTAGTGAAGGTCTAACTGCTATAATTTCAACGAATAACAGAGTTTATACGACAAGCATTAAAACTGGAAATAACTAATAACCAAGGTAAAAAATTTTCAAAAAGCAACTACGACGTAATCTGTCGAAGTGCTTACATATGGTCGTATACGCAATGATCCATATCAGTAAATTCTTAGTGACTGATTTCATGTAGTAAAGTTAAGCACTACTGTTTATGTGAAAAACTGCGGCAAAATTTCCAGAGACTTTTGAGCTATATCTGATGTTGTTTTAATCCACTTGGTCGTAAGAACCCAAAAGTAGTGTAACGACGACTTCAGTAGTCTCTTGGCACTTGATGAAAATACTTTGACGTGTATATGATGCTTACTTTATAGATTGTTTTTCACAGTAAGGAATGTAATAACTATAAAATATATGGAAAACATACCTGTAAAGGTGGCATTTATGTTTCCAGGTTCTGTTTCAGAATTGAGCTCGTCACATGCATCACTAATCGTTGAGTTTGTGTTTTGAGAGAAAGAAAAACCTTTAGCTGCGTTTTTCAAATGTGGAATGTCGGACCCAGATCGGTCTGCTTGTGAACACGATACTCGCTGTGATAGTGTTAGAGGAAGAATTGAAGTCCCAGTTGAGCTCGTAGGCAGATCTTTCAGTGCATCATTATCTTTTCTTGCTAACCCGATAAGCCGTGATATTAAACTTTGACTAGACGACTCATCAACTCCAGTGATAACAGATTCTTGGGAAGTTAGAATTATTGTGTTTAAGTCGTTATCGGCCCACTCAGCGAACAACTGACGAGAAAATCCACAACTAAGATCAGAAAGTGATGAAAGAACAACCTGAAATAACAAGTAAAACTGAATAGCTTACTTTAGGCTCTGAAACAGCATCTAACTGTTCTAACGTGTGACACAACTGCATATGTCGGAAATGAAACGGATTACTCCGTTGATCCTCAAAAGATCGCATTACTTTTTCGGACATCCACTCAACCATTGACTTTGCAAAATCCACAACATTTAAAGCTACATAACTTAGCATCGCCAATCCATAAGCCATTAGGCCAGATTCCTAGACAAGAGAGAATGAATAACGCAGTATAGTAATAGTTCGTCCGATAAAAAATCAGAATCTCGTATAAACAGTAAAACTTATTTTAGCAAATCCCTAGGCGTAACGACAGAACTATTAGCAAAACGGCGAGACTATAATTTATGGACGAACCAATCAGGTATAAGACAACAGGTATCAGATTTTGACGCGAGATTCACTCATCCATTTGGCTAAATAGTCTTAGCATTATAGCTGATGTCAGTTCGTGATTAAAACTCTAAATCTAATCCCTAACCTTGACCATCGACTTTGAATCATAATTCTTATTCCTCATACTGGTTTATAACCCTCATTTGGTCCTAGTTATTAGGTGGATACTCTGAAGGTCAGTTTAGCGTCACTCGGAGGTCGTCCATAAATTATAGCCTTACCAGAAAAACTATGAGTTTCATGATAAATGACTAAACATCATTACTTTAAGCTGAAAAACCGATGAGCTGACGTGAATCTAAATTTGTCTGTAAGTGGTTCGAACTAAGCGATAAATCAACGTACTTTTTCTCGGTCCACGCAAAAGCATAAACCAAATTCCGTGGGTTCCGAAGCTATGTTAAGCCAGTCAACCTATTGCAGTGAAAATGCTATTGACAGAACCTAATGCTTGGGTAGACACTAACTCAAGCAAACGGATGCAACCAAATGAAAACAAAACACTCAATTGGAAACTGTGGTACGAAACATACGATCAGGATAACTGGATCAGAAACAAAATATGTTAAACTAAATATGTGATTGATTCCAAAAACTGGAACTAACCTGGTTTAGCCAACATTGTTCTAAAAAATGGGCTACTTCAAGACACCTTCCAGCGGTATCCACGGCAATAAGTACATTTCCACCACGCCTTAAACTTTTCAAAACTGTCTGACGTAGATTTTCATCACGATCTTTTCTCCTAGGCTAAAACTTTCATTGAAAGTGAAGAAACTTACCTGAGTATATAAGGTGTTCGAGCCATCCATAATTAGTAAGTGTGGTCGTATGCAAGCATCAAAGGTAGCTCCATTTAAGTGTCTCTCCTTTTTATGGTTGAAATCCAAAGCGTAAACTATACTTGTGTCCTCTTTAACTAGTTTCCAAATTGTTCCTCCAAGTGTGTGACCTGTTAGAAAATATTTTTTGTCCAAGTAACATACCAGAAGGAAGTGGGGTTATACATAAACCATGGCCACGACCATGAAGACTGATTGTTTGCTGATACTTAACTTGATGCACATGATCGAAGGCTAGATCAACATCATCTAACGTGTAGTGGCTAAAGTCCTCAGAAGCATGTCTTGACTGGAAAAAATCATACAAAAACATTTGTCCCATTTTGTAAACAGGAGTCGTGGCATACACCGGACAGTTAAGTCCACACGTCCCAACAAGATATGGAAGCAACCCGAGGTGTCTTAAACTTTGATGACTAAGAAGCACGGCATCAACATGCTTAGCCCACTTTGATACCTCTTTCACATAGTCACTATCCAGTTTCTCACACCAACCACAGTCAAGAAGACAGTGAAACTCATCTACCTGGAAATCATATATCATTTGTTGTAATAATTCACCTGAAGTAAGTAACAAGGTGAACCATTATCACCAGCCCCCGAAAGCGTGTGCAACTTGATTATAGAAGTTGCCATCCTACAGGAACAACGACCTTGAGTTCATATGTATCTCCAGTCAGTATTCAGTATTCAGTAATAAGGATAGTAGGTTGATGGACATGGGTTAATCCTGACAGATTGCCTTCCAGTGAAGGTCCAGCTTCTTCTTGAAAATGTTCTCTGATGGTGTTGATACCACTTGTTCTGGTAAAGCGTTCCAGTCATTGACCACTCGACGAGAAAAACGGGACCCCACCTTTAGTTTATTAGATCGCGGTTTCAGAACCTTCTTGCTATGACCTTGGAGATTATTAGTGCTGGAGGGAGCAAAAAGATAAGACATATTAACACCCAGATCATAATTAAAGATACGAAATGCCAGTATAAGGTCACCTCGCGTCCTACGATAAAATAAGGGGAAAAGATTTAGACGTTTTAAACGCTCATCGTAAGGGAGTTTAGAAAGACCCTCTACTAATTTTGTCCCTACACGCTGGACACGCTCAAGCGATTTAGTACCCTTTATCAGACAAGGGCTAGCTGCTTGGATACATTATTCTAAGTGTGGCCTTACATAGGTGGGATATAAAATTCGAAACATATCCTCGTCGAAGCATTTAAATGCTCTGCAAAGCGACCATAGCGCTCGATAGCCTTTGGAAGCAACCGCATTGCAGTGCGTAGTAGTTTTTAAGTCGTGGCTTATAATTACTCCTAAATCTTTATGCGCATGAACGCGTGGAAGAGATGTATGGTTAATGGTATAGTGGTAACTAATATCGTGCCCGATGTGCATGAACACGCTCTTCCTGGAATTAACTTCCAGGCCCCAATCATGAGCCCACCTAACTAATTCGTCTAAATCTGCTTGCAGATAACAACGATCAGTCTCATTTCTTATTGTTATCCAAATTTTAACATCATCCGCGAACAATAACGTCGACGACTTAAGTATTTATTATTTATTTATTTAAACACATAAATATTGGTACAAGGAAACACCAAATACATATGCGCCATACAAATCTCATTCGATTTGCTTGAGGGCTGTGATACTGCCCAGGTGCCCAAACCGAAGCAGGTTTTCTTAGGGGCCCACACCCGGAGCCTTTGACCGAAAGATCTGATCAACAAGGCAGTGGAGCACCGTGGGGAGATGCAGTACCATGGTAGCCGGTCACCAACGGTTGGTTCTTACGCCATTTGTTCCTTCATGATACTGGAGCCCATGTGCACCATTGGTTTGGAATCAGGGTTTTCCAACTCCCCTAGGTGGACTCGCCTTGTCCACCAACCCGGTTAAAGTGCCGTACATTCGCTTTTCGTCCTCTCAGTTTCGTAAACAACACCGCCACGAGAAGGCAGTGAGTAGGACTTCCCTGGCAGAGGCTATATATTCGCTGGCCATGTGAGAGCATTTCGAGAGGGAGAGCAGACTCTCCCCACTCTCGGCCGTACCGGGGCATTTGGGGGCCAACGACTTAAGTAATAAAGGTAGTTCATTAATATACAGAAGGAAAAGTAAAGGGCCTAAGATGGTGCCTTGGGGTACATCACTTTTGACCGGTTTCCATTCGGATAGAGTTCCATTGACCCTCACTCCCTGTCTGCGGTCACATAAGAAGCTTCCTATCCATTCCTGTATAGCACCTGTTATTCCAAAGCTCGAGAGCTTTTGCATAAGACCTAGGTGTGAAACCTTATCAAACGCTTTGCTAAAATCTATGAATATCACGTCGACAGACAGGCCGTTGTCTAGGGCAGCTGTTCAATCCTCTCTCGCAATGAGTAAGTTAGTCAAGCATGAATGCTTGTTACGAAACCCATGTTGCTCGGGAGTTAACAGATTGTACGAATCTATGTGACTCAGTAGCTTAGCCCGAATTAATTTTTCGAGTAACTTAACTACTATGCTGGTCAGGCTAACAGGCCGGTAGTTAGATACGATCCGTCTCTGACCATCCTTAAGTATAGGACTAACTATGGCGTCTTTCCAGTCTCTATGTAGTTGAGCCTATGAAAGGGACATGTTGAAGAGCATCATGAGCGGTCTTGAAATAATGCCCGCAATCAATGACAGCAAACGTGGGTGTAACCCATCGAGGCCCGGTATCTTACAAGGTTTTAGGTTAGTTATCAAAGGAAAAACAATATCCTCTGTCACGTGTAAAGGTCCTATGGCTGGTATCTCATTGTCAACGGGGCAAGTAGTTGTCACACTACACGTAGAGTAGACTTCACTGAAATAGTTAGCAAATGTCTCCGCTTTCGCTAGATCAGATTCAGCCAATAAAGCTGAATTTTTGCCTAACAGTAACGAGGGGATACCATCACTACATTTCGTCCTCCTTTTAACGTACCTAATCATTCAAATCAGTTGAAATAACCCAGACACTATGTCTAATAAGAACGAATTGATAGCGTCTCCAGGATGAAATCGAAATACCTACAACAAATAAGAATAAAATTTTTCAGATAGGTATGAGACGCCGTCCCATGTTCTTAAAGTTATATCGAGTTTCTTCGCACAGAACTTGTTATGGTAAATAAATTTCCGAAATCAATAGTTCTATGGGTCTTCGACATATGATGCTGACCATATTAGCTTTGCCAGGCACACCTAGATGAAGGTGCCCGGTCACGCATCCGCATCAGATCATAAGCGGGTATGCTGTGCTACTCAGCCCTACAACTGCTAACCAGCCTTGATAAAATGCTTCTCGACGTATCTATAACCTTACAAATATGCCCCCGAATTCCTGCACTTCTGACTTCTAATTTGACTGGATCGATAAACTTCGATTATAAATGTGATACGTGCTCATTCGCTGAGATTTTACAAATATATATTATTCCTATTTAAGGTGTTACGTGTTGTTTGTGCAAAAACTCACACTCTGGTGCTAGGGTTCTCTCCAAGTCTTTAGGTTATCAAGGAAGTGATGTTTCACAAAGTATTTATTGAAGAAAGCCATCTATGTAAATTATAAAAGCCTGAATCACTGTGAATCTGTTGCAATATTTTTTTGAAGCCGAGCATATAAAAACAGAGATCTACGTTCAACATGTAAAACTCGGAAGTCAAAAATGGTGAGCGCGGGAACAGTTAAACGTTATGGTTTGGATCAGCCTTGCAGGCGTAACAATTCTGTGTAACTTATCCCAATTCACATTAAATGTATCGATCCACATCCGACCCAAATCCGTTCTTCAGTAGCGCTAAACATAGTATTGCTGGCTGTCACAAAGAATGATTCAGTATAGGAAATGATGTGAATTCCATGTTAGATTTTACAGTCAAATCATAACGAATCTACGAAATCGTAATTAAGTCGCTTTTTTATATAACAAAGGTAAATGTACTAATACCAAATTAGACCATATTTCTACAAATCCATGCAAAGAAATCCAAAGATTTCACACATTCACATGTGCTATTATTATTTTTTGAAGGTAGTGGGGAAGGTTTTACTGGTCTGAGGTGGAGTGAACCGTTAAATCAAACTCCCTTGAAGACGTGGGTGATGTATGTCAACTCTTCCATGCCTATCACCACTTCTTGTCTTACAGAATGCGAGAACAGTGAATTAAAGAACGTCAAGAGAAGTGAAGAAGCTTCTCTCAGTACATCGGAGTGGATCCCACCAGAACCAGATGTGTCCCCATAGTGTAGCCACGCTCTGCGTTGCAGCAATTTCGCGCTCAGATTGGTTAAACTAAAAATTATGAACTAACTTGGAGTGACGCTGGAGTGACCCTGAGAAAATTTCCTTACTTTCTATGGTCAAGAGGTTTATAATTTAATGTAGGATTTTGGGGCTAATATCTAGAGTTAGAAGTCAAGGGTGAGAATTATGATAGAGGTTTATCTCAGGAGCTGATATCAACTATAATTGCGAAATTCTAATTAACGGTATGGATGAATGAATTTGGCTTCGAAATCCTAGACCTGCTGTATTTGGTTTCATGAATTCATCCACAAACTACTGTCACGCCTCCTGTAGACTTCCTGTAGTAAAGGTCCCTTCCCATGTTAGCTATGGATGCCAATTGACAGGCTCGGAAACACTAACAAAACACTAGCTTTTGGCAGCTTCTTTATTGTTGCTGCCACGTGATTTATTCTACCTTATATGTGGGCAGATAATTTCGACAGATCCAGCTGTTATGTATATTGATACTTTTCTTTGTCCAGTATCTATGCGTTAACATTGAGGGTCGCTTCTATATGCTCTGTATGTCTATCAATCTCGAACCAACTTAGCTATCCATTCGCTTAAGAATTGTATTGTCTGTTTCCGTATACAATATGAATCCACTTGATAACAGTCAGCCGACTGATAGGCAGTCCACGTATTGCATCTATTTGTCCTTCACTTGCATGATTGTCGGAATAAAATTAAGTGGATGAAATCAACGAATACTCATTCCTATTAAACTTAGGCTTTTTAATTCAATCTTTTGTTAATTCAGTATCAATCATCACTTACGCAGTTAGATATAAAATTCATGGGCATCAAGCTGGATTTGAACACAGGCATTGCAAGCTACGCACCAACAAGTTCGTCACCAACTGGCACATTAGGACCTAAAATCCAGAGGATGACAGGCTTGTCCTGTTGAAAAGGAGCCGTATGATGAGAAAAACTTTTCAGATTAGTGAATCTGTCTATCAGCTTAATCTAGTGTCAGTCCCTACATTACCTTGTTACTATCTCCCTAGGACGGCTTCTAGGTTATCTAGTTACTGGTCCGCTTGTATTTCACTCGGTACTATATTTTAGGTTTTGGCAGACTGAGGATGTGTCTACGGATGATCATAAGTTTACTGAAGATTGTTATAACCACTTATAGGACAGACTGACTAGCAAATAAGACCATGCACGGGCGGAATTACCGCGGAATAATTGTATACTAGTCTTCTCAACCTATGTGCTAGTGATCATTTTATGGAACGGACGAATCTAGGAGTTCGCATTTTCAATCTTCTTAGTCCAACCAAATACCGCTCTTCGTTAGATGATCTATCTGAGCAACATATAAATACTTTGAGATAATCAAACTCTTGAGGGACGCGTGTCTGTAGTGGTATTGGCCCAAACCACACAATCCTTAACGCTGAGCATGAGATAACTAGGAAAATATATATTCAAGACATAATATGGAGAGAGGGTCAAAAAAAGTGAACGCGGGAGTACTCAATTCTAATGAATTTAATGGGATAGTATGACTCAGCCTTGCAGATGCGGTCATTCTGTATAAACTGTTTTTACTCACATTAAATACATCATTCTATCTGTAGCCTAAATGCACTCTTTAGAAACTCCAGGCATCATACTGCTGATTGTTACGATACGATGAGTTAGTTAACCCGTTATTTAGTTGTTCGCGTTGCTGATCGACTAAAGTAAACATGACGTGCAGTTCGATATTTAGACTTTCACGGACTTTCGAAGGTGAACCCTGATTCCCTTCATTTAAGTTAACGGGAGCATAGATGTTGCTGCTGACATGATTCTGAAGAAATACTGTTGTGTTTAGGGAAGCTGAGCTTCGAGACACGAGTGTGTCAAATATGCTAATGAGTCAACTCGAGTTGGCCGCGAATGATTTGACACTTTCGTAACCATAAATGGACAATCTAGTAAACTTAGGCTCTTAGGCTATTAAGCCCATGTATTATAAATGATAACAAAGCTTCCTAGGCTCTTAAATAGGCTATGAAGAACAACTGAATACTGACCAACTAGATTGTACTTAGTAAGGTGAAGAAGAAAGTGAAGATGTGATGAAAATCAAATCAAGTGCATAATAACTTCTATTTCTAAGAGGGCCTCCAGATATCTTAAGGGAGATAAATAACAGATTCCAGGGACCCATCTTAATTTACAATGATATAAGATCCGTCAGGAGACCAACAACTCAAAACTCAGGCAAGGCAGCTCGTTTTTTAGAAGAAAGGACGGCAATTAATACTCTAAACGTACGAATTGTTTATGAGCACTATATTTCCAATTTGTCCATGTTGAATAATAAGTATACTGTGTATATGTTTATTCAAAGACAACTTACTGAAATGGTTCACAGAGTGCTGGGAAAACGCGTTATACGGCTGATGTACTGGTGAGAAAATGTTGCGTATTAGAGAATACTTTAATCCAACTGCAGGGCCAGTGAAGTGACACTAAGCCCTGGCTAAATCATCCAGAAGTTTGGTCACTGATTATTGAACAGTTTAACGAACATAGCCAAATCAGGGACAACCAACCCTACTTAGTTAATTGAACGTCACAGACTTCATCATGAAGCGGTGGTTGCATTGTTACTGTACCTCTTCTTACTTGTACATTCCAGTGATATACGTTATGTCTTAGTCGTACAGTAATCAAAGTAACCACAGTACCTGGGTATGACGAAATGGTAATCCATGTCAGGCGTTAACAGCAAGGTGGGATTTCGACGTCAACAGGGAGGTTACGACGTTCCCCTTTGACTTAGTTGATCCTCAAATCGTCGACACAGATCATCAACGTTGATGATCTACACAACGATACTGTTGGTTCAATTACTCAATAGAATATCGTAGGCTTCCTAACTAGAATGGTCTAGCAATTATTTAATATCGAAGGATGAATTCTTATCCACGTTTTTTTGAAATTTATATAAGATGACTGTAGCGGCAAATAATTCCCCAAAATTAACAGTTCTGTGAGTGATAATTGATGCTAAATGCATTAGTTTCGGTGGGCTCATTTAACTCAGGGTGATCGGTCACCCATCCGCACCAGATCACGAATAAGTGAGATTACACATCCCTTTCAACCACAAGTCAGGTTGGACAAAACGTTCATCGACATACTAATAGGCTTCTAAATACATCTTCGAACTCCTTCATTTCTGACTTCTAATTTGAATGCGTTTGAGTACTCCGACTGTAAATGTGTCAGTGATTAATTCTTTGACGAACTCCGAATACTCGTGAAAATCTATGACTGATGATTATTACCGTTTCTAGAATCATAAAGATATTATGGGTACCCGTAACACCTTTGTGATCAAAAGGTCACACGAATAACGAACTAATATTCTAGAATGAAGCAGTTCGGAGATACATTTGTAGGTATCGGATATCAAGCGATGAAAATAAATCTAAGACAATGCGTTCTGGAAGAAAAGTAAAATTTCCAGAACATTTAAACGACTATTGCACGCAGGACGCAAGCTTTATCCCGTTTTCCTTTACATCATATATTATGAAAAATTTAATATGCTCATTTTTATACATTTATTCCAAAAAAATATTTTTTACCAATAAACTTTTATTTTTTTATAAACATTTTTTTTCAATCGCTTTTACGCTTTCGCAAGCATATTAGTTTAGAATCAGAAGGAGATTGTGGAGATTTTAGTATATTTCAAAGTTGATATCATGAGTCAATTGAAGCTAGACCACCATCGAAAACCTGGAAGCACTGGACGGCCGTTTCGTTCTATTATGGGACTTCTCAGCAGTGCGCATCCACGATCCCACACTCACGAGATTCGAACCCAGGACCTACCAGTTACGAGCCCTTAACCGATAGACCACTGAGCTGGCATCAAACGGTGTTAATGTCTAACTTCAACTGATCCACGAATTATGAGCGACACTTCACCAATTGCCTTCGGTGAGTTGTTATCTCACAACAGACGTGGTTGAACTCCACTGGTCACTGCTTCCCACTAGAACTCCAGGACATATATCTTGAAGTCAGTCACTAGTGAGCATATGATTATAATCAGAAGGGGATTCGTGGAGATTTCAGTATATTTCAAAGTTGAAATCATGAGTCAATTGAAGCTAGACCATATTAGTTTATTTACCTTGTGTCTTTACGCAAGTACGAATGTATTTCGACATGCACTCACACGTTCTATTTTCTCTTTTCCGGGACGTCTGGAAAAGAACTATGAAGTTTATGAAGAACCGAGATTTCGATTGTACTTTGTTTTACGATTACTATACTGTATTTCATGTCTCCTTATAGTAAGGAAAGATGGCCAGTCGCTTCCAAACATACAAGCAATCAGAAGAGTGCTTACCAAAGGCAAATTCCTTAGGTTCGAACATCTGGCTGGCCACGTCGTAGGGTCATCACTACCTCACTTGGGAGGAGTGATCTATAGCTGTAAATAATTCCCCTAAATCAATAGCTCTGTAAGTGTTCGACATTGGATGCTGACAACATTAGTTTTAGTGGACTCGTTTAGCTGAAGGCGCTCAGTCATGCATCCGTACCAGTTCATGTTACAGAACGGCGTGGGATACATCTCTTAGCCAGATTAGATCAGTCACTTCTCGATATATTGATAACCCATTAAATATATCTTCCAACCTCCTCGCTTCTGATTTCTGGTTTAAGCTGGGTGGGCGCGACTCGATTATATAATGTTTTACTGGTAAAAAGTTGCCAAGCTACAATACTGGTGGTATCTTCAGTATGATTTAAGCTGACCACATGTTGCTACGGTTATTTACCTCAGATACCCAATATCCTGATATCCAAATACATTACGGGACTCTTTCGGATGGTGGTGTCCGGCAAAACCTGCAAGGTCAGCATCAATTTCGAATACTTATAGAACCATTTAATCGGGTATTCATTTGCCAAAAAAATGGAAACTCCAAGCAGTGTTGCATCAGTCATTTGCGAACTCAGAATTATCGACTTGAAGCTCTCAAGCTGATAAGTGATGAAAGTAATTAAACATAAATCAATATATGTTTTCATGAAGCTTGGCCTCGTTATTGCATTATCGAGAGAAAATGACAAATAAGGCGCTCTTTATAAGTAATGCGCAACCTATAGGATGGGCGTCTCTGAAATCAGTCAGCTGTTGGCTAATTAAACCCATAACTGTAAGTCCAAAAGCTCCTCAGTCACCAGCTAATGTCATTTCGTAATAAAAGTGCGAGACTACAATTTAAGGACGACCTTTGAACGAATCTTAAGTGATCGTGAGAAGTATTAGCCAATCAGAAGACAGTATAGAGTAAAAATATATTATTCAACACCAAAAAATTACAGTGGGTGCACTTTTTTACATGGTCAAAAGCTTTGCCAAGGCTAAAAAGAGGTTCAGAGGTCTTAAAATCGTAATGCATAAGGTAGAGGAATTCATACATATGGCTCCATAGTACTCGGTCTCTGGAGCCATGATAAGGTCACAAAACCCCTCTCAGCCTCTACGACATAGCTTCAATATTGTTTGTATGTATTCCAGTTGCGTAAGTTTGTCATTTTTATTACGCATATATTAATACAACACTCATACCTCTGAACATGTTCGGCTGAAGACACACAAACATAAGCACAGAAACAACTGGTAAAATGCATCCAGTCGATTAATTCTGCATTAGCCTTATTTTGTTGTGAAGTTCATGTATTTTTTCAGGAAAACCAACCATATCCAATATTTAAAACTAATGATTACCTGGTATTTTTAAGTTATAGATTTCATCCGTCATCCTAGCCAAAGCGTTTCCAACTACTGGTCGATTATCTTCGTTGCTGTTCATATTTGTGTGCCTTCATATACGATGGATAAAAATATATGTTCTAGTAAAAGTGAAGTAGATATGTTGTGTAATGCAGAATCTGATGTGGATTCGTTTATCGATAATAATGCCATTATGACCACTGGAGCAGTTGCTCGTATACTGAAAGAATCCGAATCAATGAAATCAACTCAACTTCAAGTAGCTAAGTTTTCTGTAAAGCATTAGCATAGGTTGATGAAAATGTTGCGCAATCATCAAGAAGTCTACTTAGTGAGGATAGCAGCAGTTCAAAATCTTCAATTAAGGCGGCTACTTGTTCAACTTCAGAAGATCCTTGCTGGACAAATGACTTGTTGCATATTTTTGTTCTTAGCGAGGCTGGAAAACCCATATATTCACGGTACGGAAATGAAAGTGATCTATCCTCCATAATGAGCGTTATGCAAGCCCTTGTTTCTTTCGTTGCGAATTCTGGAGATGAGCTTCAACTAATCAATACAACTGACAAAAAGTTCTTGTTCGTTTGTCGGTCGCATCTAATATTAGTGGCATTTAGTCCAATTTCTGAACCCACTTCACATTTACTCATCTGCCTCGAATATGTATATAACCAGGTTTGTTACAGTGTCTTTTATTTTGCACTTATTTTACACCTCTTGGAAGTTTCGCTTGTTAAAAATGTTGTACTTATGGAGTAGATGTTAAAATATAACCAACTTCGACCATTCTCACTGGAATTTATCTGAGGAAATAACTCCTAGTTTTTGCCATCAGGTGATATTTTGTAGTTTCATTGTGGTCACCACTAGTTTGGTTAGCTGGGCAAGTTGGTTTAATTAAGACCCCTAGTCGGTCATGCTATACGATAAGTAAAGCTTTACTCCAGTGTCTAGTTCAAAGGGGTCTTAGGTAAAGCAAAGAAGTGGAAAAAAGTTTAACGACAACTATTTCTCTGTATTCATTAGTCAAATATAAGTGTAGGTTTTTAAACAATTTTGCCCTGTCAATTGGTATGTAATCGTTGGGGTTGTATTTAATAAAGCACTTTAAGCTATATTATTGTTTTGTCGACAACCGCAACAAACTAGAATTTTTTCTTGCCAAAATGTGATTCAGAACATTCAGAAGATCGTAAAGGCTGATTGAAAACATAGTAGAAATGAAATGAGAAAATTAATAAATTTGGCTGTAACTTTCTTACGAAGTAAAGATTTTTTGTGTTCAGTTTACAACCATACTACTTGAAAGCTAGTGATCTTACTAAGTTGCTTAAATCAAAATAAGCGAAATAGTCCAAACCTGGAGCCTATTCACAAGTTTAATCTTTTGATCACTAGGCCAACGCCATGCACTAAGTTTAGTTATTAAGATTATGTTACACATCAGAGTATTTATTGAGTAAAACAACCATAAAATATGTAGGATTCAGTCAACAAGTAATAAGCTAATTGAATGAAGAAGGGATTGGTCTAAGATTTTTGAGATCGCAATCATACCTGGATATGAGGTTAAAATGTTCCTGATACACATCGTCTAGGATTCTTCATTGGTCACATAAACTGTGATAACTTAACGGACATAAAAAGTACTTTCTGTAGATGACTTTGGACTAAAGAATCGTCACCATTGAATAAACATTTTTAGTATAGTGTTTTACCGTAAAAAATCTATAATGTATTCATTGCTATCTAATTCCAACTTTGTCGTATAATCTTGAACTGTTTTGGATATACAAATATATCCCCATCAATATGTTATTATTAATCTCTGTACCTTACTTATTGTAGTTAACAATGTAAGCTGGCTAGATAACCTATCCTTCTTTTGAAATAAGTGAGATAGTAGTTTTAGTTTGAAATCTATGCTCGTAAGGGTTTAAAAGATAACAGCATCTCATAAAATGAATGAATGAAGAGTCATTTAATCCTAGGTTAAGATCTACCAAGTTATGTGAATAGCTCCAAGTTGAATATAATCATAAAAAGGAAGTTGTCTTCGCAACCTATAAAGTGCGTTTGGTTTATATTAATTTTTGCAGAGCAATTACACGCTGTCAATCGATAAAGTCGGTATCTGAATGCTATTATATGGTTTTGTCAAAATTCTAGATAATAAGCTCATTAACTTTGCAAAGAGTGGAGAAACAATTTACAAGACATGCTAATTTGGATTTACGCAAACTCCTTGTTGGAGATAATCGACTTTTATCTTCTATCATAAATCGCGTAGAAGAGACTTTTGGGGTATTTTTGAATGCAATCAGCTGTACACCACTTTCGGAAAATAACAGAGCTGCAATATCACAGATTATCTGTCAGAATGCTAAATTACGTGTGAGTTAGTTTTGTTAAATATATGCTTTACAGATTTCTGAACTAAGTTTTATTTATTATCTAAACATGATTATTGGTACTAAGAGGCCAATAAATAAATACGCATTACACGAAAAAAAACCAGGTTGTAAAGAATTAGAAAAACTGAAGTGAGTATATTAAAAAGACAATAATTGAATACAAGTAATAAGAGAAGCAGTTTAGTCAAGGAAAACAGTGAAAAAGAATTCTTTGGGTTAAAAATGTTCCTCTCATCTTCTACAAAGAAAGTAAAAAGAAACCACAGCAGGATGGCTAATGGCTTCTCTTCTGAGCTATGTCTGAAGCCACGGTTGCTCCATCTCCAGCACATCCACCGGAGAGCTATGAAGGACCGACAGATGCTAGTCATGCACGGTTTTCTCTTGTACCACGAAACTATTTCGTCGAACGAACACCACTGTTTTCAACTAGTCCTAGCATCGTCAAATAATCAACGATGTGGAATCCTCTGGGACGACATTCGTAAGACGTGTCCAAGTCACAGATTTCCATGTTTCATGACGATAACACCAAGTGAATTATCGTCGCTGTGCCCGAACGTACGCTTCCGTACCCTCTTATTAATAACACGGTGTTGGCACCTGATGTTAGCAATACTTCGAAGACAACGATAATCGAACACAGAGCCACTTAACATTCTTATATAGCATAGAACAAAACTGCTCTCACCTTCTTATTATAGACCCGACCTTCTACAGTCAGATTGACATCATAAGGGCGCCAAAGATGGCCCAGGTTGGCATAGGTCTCTCTGGCGTTCAATACCTGTAAATTAATCGCACCTTTCTCGCCACTCCTTGCATTTACACAGAGACCTGAATACTAGGACTTTTGAACTACTCCGTACCACGACTGAATGCAGTCTTGTGAAAGTACTTTGCAATTAGAATGTACAAGGCTTATGCAATATCTACTGGCACTGATTCAAGGGATTACTTATAGATCATTGTGCTGTGCTATAATCTGCGTCGAGTCTTCTTGTTTGTGTGACTGAAACACTGCCACAGGAATTCAGCATAAACTAGCAGTAAAATACTGTTATTTGCTGTGGAGTCAGCCACATAACGAAGGATTATTAACTCGTCATACTTCATATTGTCCTATTTATGTAGATACTGATGAAATATTTTTGTTCTACGTAATATAGCCAATAATATCGAACAATGAAGACAGAAACTATGGTAAAATACCAACGTTCTGCTTTATAAAACCACTGTCAGCCTGAGTAAAAGAGACTAAAGTTACTAAAAAGTATTGATTCTGATTATTAACTCACTTGCGAGTTTCAAATTGTCAAGGCGAACTTATATGTGTTATTCTTTTTATCATGGTGTTTTACTGTAATATGATAGCTTTCTTCAGTTAATATTAGAAGTTGAAATTCAACTTATCAGCTATTGAAGGGGAATTAATTTTTATTAGATCACCTACCAGAGCCTCTAAAATGAATATTTTAAGTCTATTAGTTTAAATCCTGTCGTTGAGTTCAATTTTACGCATTACTTCTGCATAATCTCGGAGTTTCAAAGCTAAAAGCCATTCGATATAATTTTATTATAAACAAATATTACAGGAAGTTTAATATGGGATGTCACGCATAGATTGTTCTCTCAGTTAGTTAGTCAGTCACAACGTAGAACTTCGTACGTGCGTTCATCAGTTCGAGTTGCCATACCACATTAACACAGAGATGCAGTTGTCGACTCAAATATCATTGTGGTAGTGGTAGTAGTAAGGGTATAAACAGTAATCCGAAAGATTAGGGTTTGAAGATGTTATTCAAGGAGTGTAACCCAGTGAAATAAATTTGAAAGAGAAAAAAAAGATAGGGATATGAAGAATTCAGAAGATTAGAATTTGGGAGAACACAAAGAGTGGATACACCTTCGCCATTGAAAATGATTTTGAGCCATGTCATTCGAAGTCTCTTACCATCGATTGCTATCATCTCGCGAATCCCAACCACGTAGTCTACACCTACCAATATGGCTCTATCCACGTGTCAGTGACTTCATGTATTTGTGCCACGTTTTCGTCTGGCCGCCCATAGCTTTCTTCCAACCTACTCCTACAACATAAAACATTGCACGTCGGGGCAGTCGGTGGTTGGGCATACGTAACACGTGTCCCAGCCATCTCAACTGATGAGGTTTCACTACTTCATCAATCGATTTGCCATCCTTACCCAATACCCCTTTCCTAACAACAGCATTACTTACTCGGTGGTCCCAGGATATATGAGCAATGCTTCGAAGACATCTATGATCTAATATTAGTAGCCTACGAATATCTCTCAACTTGGAACGATTATCATTCTTATCATAAAAGGGTCATTTGACGCTAATTTATTTGATTTTTTATCATGACCTAACCTCTAGGGTTTGGTGTTCGGTATATTGTTTCACAAAGATGATATTGTTAGCATTGTACGCATGAAGGATCAACATCTTTCCCCATCAGACATTCATGTACTTCTAAATCTAATTGGAAGTTCACAGTCTTTCAAATCGGCACAATCTCATTGGTTACCGATCTGTCTGCCTAAATTCGATGCTAAGTAAGTATAAAAATCATGATACAATTATGAAAATAATCAGAGAGAACTAGTTGATATTCTGTTTTTAATTTTTGAAACCAAAATTTGTCTAGTGTCTGGTTTTCTTTGACTAATATTTTGCTCAAAGGCTTTTAGTGTTCCTGCATTTCCCTTGGATTTACCACGATCAAAAAGTAAGCAGTGTTGAAGTTAAGTACAAAGCTCTAGACATTTACGGCAAATTAACTGATGATGTTTTGAAACTGTACTGATTGAATTATCCCAGTTATGTGTTTTGCATGTTATGTCATATTTTACTTCAACCTATAATATTGGTTGAAATAGCGTTATGTTAGAAAATAGCTAAAGGTAAGCCATATTGACGTGTGGCATCATTACATGTTATCACTGAATATAGGTCTTTTTGAAGAGTAATGATGATGCAACCATTCTGGGGGCAGTCGTATGAATGCTACAAAACAGTGATTAGATACATTTAGTAACATTTTACAAGTCTGTCAGATAGACTTCTTGTGTATACCGCTCTGAATCTCAAATTTTCTTCTATTATCTATCGCCTGTTTTCCCTTTATAACTGTTATTGCTTTTATGAATCTATGCATTTATTATTTTTTGTTAAATCTAAATGTGCCAACCCGAGCCCATAGGTGTTTATGCAGAGATGTACGTGAATATCTTTATTTTTATCTGTCCGTACTGCATTGTATGAAGGGTCCATGATAATTTATAATATTGTGTAACTATACCCAAAATATTCTTACTATTTCTCTTCACCTTTTCATATCATGGACCGATATTAGCCGAAAGGTCACTGAAAACCAGGAGGTATGGACACATCATCTCACGTTGGGGTTTCTCAGCAATACTCACCCATGATTCTATACAAGTTTAAATCTCAAGATCTTTAGGTTGCATGTTAAGGACAATAACTCTAAACTAATGGGTCGGGATACAATGATATTCTACTTCAACTAATGCGCGATACAAAAACATTTCTGCTTATTAACTTAAATTATTATTTAGCTATTTTACTGCATTGACTTTAAATTATTGATACTTCATATAGTTTTTTCCATGTGGTTTTTATCTTAACTGTAGCGGATTTTTATATGCCAGTGTTACTTATCTTAATGATACAACATTCATGGTCTTGCTTACTGTTGACAGTGAAAAATTTTATCCACTCAAGTCAATTACAGAAAAAGTATTCACAGTAAGTTTCCTCATGTATGTTAATCTAAGTATAAAAACAATTTGTTACATGATCCAGTCGTATTTTTTCAACTAAATTAATTTTATCAGTTCGTCTATTTGCTTTAAGGTGTTAACATTATTATGAAGATGAATATATTAAAGTTTATATCCATTCGCATCTATTTTTAATTAACGTAAAGCGATGATAACGTGTAATTGAATTTACTTCTATGTGCACCTGTTATTGTTTTGATTTCCTTGCTAAATTACAACAACTTTTTACTTTCTTCGTAATCATATCAGAGTAGGGAATGTTTAGTGAGATTACTTATTGTAAATAAATCAAAACTACCGTAAATAATATTAGTACCACACCCTTCCCTTTCTGTATGTTTCATCATTGACAACGCACTGCATGAGTACTAACACAGTTTCCCGACCGTAGCTGCTACCTTGACAGATAAGATAGGAACACAGGCTTCTTAAGCTAGGACTCTAAAATCTCGCGCCATATATGTATGCTGCGTCTCCAAAACGCGAATATACGATCCAAGTACAGTCGTTCATTTGACGTGACCTTGTCAATGTAAAGAACCGCCGCGATTTACCGCTCAAGTATCTGTAAACCCCACTGCTACTCCCGCGACCTTGCGCGTATAGGTATGGCATTAAGTTCTAAAGCAAAACAGGCTGTCAAACTGGATTCCAATAGACAGTCGCTTGTGCACTGTCTGACTAGACAGAACAGTACGAACTCGAAAAGACAGGACAACAATCCTCTTGTGATAATCACAAAGAATCAGTTTTACTAATATATATTGTATAAAATATTAACCTAAATAATAATTCAACTTTTAACTAGAACTCGTGAAGAGCGAACCTGAGAAAATCAGGCTGGTTTCAGACCTGGAGGTGATTTAATTGACCGAATATTCACCCTTCGCCAGATTTTGGAACATAAACATACTTTCCGACGTCTGACTATAGTTGTAGTTCTTGACCATAAGGTGACGTTCCACTCCGTTGGTCGTGAGGTCTGTGGTAATGTCTGTTGTTGAAAAGCGTACCAAACAAGTACACTAACCTCGTACAGGCTTTCTACTTGAACACTACTGGTCTAGTCAGAGCTTATGGTGAACTGTCATCGGAACTTATTACTTCAAGTGGTGTTCATCAGGGTTGTCTGCTCTCCCTATTGTTACTTAACTTTGTCATAGACATGCTTTTAGATACAACAATTCCACCTTCTGACTTTTCAGGGATTAATCTTCCACAAGGATATTCACTTGCTGACTTAGAATATGTAGATGATATAGTTCTGTTTGATGAAGATGCTCACAAATGCAGTCTCCTGATCACCTTAAGCAACAATGCAACAGCAGTTCGCTCCGTTCTACTTTTGAGTATGAAACATGGTGATTAAGAATAGAGGATCTTTGTAGGTTACTAGTATTCGACCATCGGTATCTTCAAAACATTGCTCGCATATTTTGGGACTAACGAGTAAGCAATGGCTGGAATTAGGGACAAGGTGCTAGGTAATGGTGGCAAGCCGATTGATAAGGTAGTAAGTCTTCATCCACTGAGGTGTTTGGGACTTGTGTTAACTTATGCACAACAACCACCTTCCTCGACGGGTGACGTTTTCTGGTGTAGGAATAGGCTGGAAGAAAGCTACGGGCATCCCCTCAGGGGCTTCCTGGTTAGAATCAGCTTGATTATAGTAAACGATGGTTGGATGCTGTATAAAATAGCTTAAAATCGTTCTCAAAGGCGCACGTGCATCCATACTTTGTCTTACTTCGAGATCTGAGGTTTTAAATTCTTCATACCTTTATTTTGTTTTTGTTTCCCTAAATTTCTTTTTTTTCCGAGTCGTATCTTCGATGTTTAATCTTTCGTATTATTATTGATACTGTTAATGCCTCTACTGTTCTGGGATTCAGCCTGAAAAATTCATCTCTACGCTAATGGAGTATGGCAACTTGGATTTATGTTCATACGTACAGGTTCTACGTTGTAACTTATTGAATAGTTTTCAATGCAACCTAAATCTAGAGTAGCAGCTTATAAAGTTGTTTATTGTTAAGTTGTCTGTAGTTTATTTTCGATCGTTGCTCAAATAACAGTTATTGTATTTGGGGAGTATTTGGATCTAGTTGCATTAGAACACTATCCATATAGCTCATGATAAAAGTGTTTGGTTCTCTAGAAATGACCATAATATATTAGTGTTCTAAATAAATTTTCCTAGTTCTTTTATATATATAACTCCAGCTAAAAAATACTAATAATTACTTCAGAAGTTTTGGTGTCAAGTTTATATTCAGACTAATCCTCTTTACTCAATCATCTCCCACTTTGTTTTATTTATTTAATCACATATATATCGGTACAAAGGGCACCGGATACATATGCGCCACACAAAATAATGAGAATGGGAGGAAGAAGGGGATGCGTATATATAAAAGAAGGAAAAGAGTAATGATGGGGGGAACTGAATGTACAACCAGAAGAGCTCTCTCAGTTAGGAAAGTTATAGCCACTCTTTATGCAGAAAGTAAAAGAAGGTTGCAGCAGGATCGCCACTGGCTTCTATTCTGAGCCATATCTGATAACGTCTCTAGCCACTGTGTTGCACCATCTCTCGGACCCCAGCCAGGGAGTCGTGAAGGACCAACAGAAGCTAGCCCTTTGCAGCTCTCTTTCATGCCACGACACCATGTCATACACTGACCTCCTCTCTGCTTTCTCCAACCAGTCCCAGAGTCGGCAAATAATGCACGACGTGGAAGTCTCTGGGACGACATTCGTAAAACATGTCCAAGCCACCGAAGTCGGTGTTTCAAGATGGTGACACCAATTGAATTATCGTCTCTGCGCCCGAACACACGATGCCGAACCTCTGCATTACTAACATGGTGTTGCCACTGGATGTCAGCAATCCTTCGGAGACAACGATGATCGAACACAGAGAGACGTCTAACATCCTCAACTCGGAGAGGCCAGGTTTCACAAGCATAGAGCAAAACTGCTCTCACCGACGCGTTGTAGATCCGACCTTTTACAGCCAGACTAACATCATGAAGGCGCCAAAGATGGCCCAGATTGGCATAAGCCGCTCTGGCTTTCCTTATACGTGCATCAGTCTCATCACTCACGCCCCCACCAGCACTTATGTAGCTACCTAGATACACGAACTTCTCAACTACTTCAATCTGCTCACCATCCAGGGTGAGAACAGGACGAGAATCCTGCCAGTCTTGTAGGAGTACCTTGCACTTGGAGGGTGAAAAGCACATGCCGTACCTGCGGACACTGATTGCAAACTGATTAAGTACTGATTGCATGGCTTGGTCATTATCGCACAGTAAGACAATATCATCCGCATACTCAAGGTCGAGAAGTCGTTCTCCAGTCAACATATCCACACCGCCATTACTTACATCCACCAGAGCTGTTTCTAGGATGTCGTCGATGGCAAAGTTGAAGAGGAATGGCGAGATCGGGCAACCCTGCCTAACCCCACTGCTCGAATGGAACAAGGGAGAAAGGTGGTTGTATGCCCTCACTCTGCCTGAGGTGTTCGTGTACAGGGCCTTTAAGATGTTACTGAACTTCTCAGACACACCCTTCTTCAATAGACAATCCCAGAGAACAGTCCTGTCCAACGAATCGAAGGCCGCCCTGATATCAAGAAACACTACGATTGTTGGCCTGCGATAAGTATGACGGTGTTCTAACATTTGGCGGAGGGTGAAGATGTGATCAATGCATCCTCGACCAGAACGAAAACCAGCCTGCTCCTCGCGAGTCAATCGTTCTCGGGTTTTAAACAACCTACGAAGAATGATAGAAGCCAATAGTTTGGACGCGATCGAAAGTAGACTTATCCCCCGATAGTTGCTACAGGAACAACGTGAACCCTTTTTAAAGATAGGGACGACTATTGACTCATTCAATGATATTGGAACACTTTCTTGCTCCCAAACCTTTGCAAACAACGCAGTCAGTTCCTTAGCCAGAAAGTCACCACCATCTTTAAAAAGAGCCGGAGGTAAGTCATCTGGGCCAGGTGATTTGTAACGTTTCAAGAGTTGGAGTTCCTTGCGGACTTCCGCCTCGTTTGGTGGATCAGTCGTCACCGGCCATGGGGGCAGGACAAAATGGTCGATGTTGCCGGAGCAACAGGCCAATTGAACTGCCCTTCGAAAAATTCAGCCCATCGTCCGAGACGTCGAGAGATGTTAGTGATTGGCATTCCATCATCCTCGTAGATTGTTTCACTCACACCAGACTTCTTGCTGCCAGTGACTCGGATGAGTTGGAAGAGCTTCCGGCAGTTACCAGATGCAGCTGCTGCTTCCATCTCATTAGCACGCTCCGACCACTAGGCTTCCCGGTCCTTACGCAAGCTTTGCCCGATTTCATTACGTAACAGCCTTCGTTTGTGGTCATACTCACGGTCACCCGGAGTAGACCGACGGGCTTCGATCAGTTGTAAGGAGCCAGAAGAAACCCAGTGCTTGTAAGCGGGACGTTTCGCGAAGCCGCAAGCGGCTTTACTCGCCATTTTCATGGCGTCGTGAAGATGCAACCAATGCTCATCTATACTTTTCGGTGGGGTGGTAGCTAGCCTAGATGCTAGCTCCGCTCGATACTTACTTGCAACAGATGTTGCAGCCAGTTTACTAACATCGATCCGTTGGTGGTGGTCAATCCTTCTGCCACTTAAAAGTAAGGTGAGATTGGCGCAGACCAGGGCATGATCAGACTCCAGATAGGTACTCCAAAAGGAGCGGCAGTCTTGTACACAACCACGCCAACGGTAGCTGATCGCGATGTGATCAATCTGAGTCCAGGCTTGAGATGCAGAGGGAGGACGCCAGCTGGCACACCGGCGATGACTGTGCCGGAAGTGAGTGCTGGTCAGAAACAGGTTGTGGTCTGTGCACAGTTGCAGCAAACGGTCCCCGTTATCTGTCCTGCGACCAACAAGTCCCCATCGGCCACCTAAACGACTCTCTTCTGTGCCTAGACGCCCGACCTGTGCATTCAAGTCTCCGGCTAGTACTACAATATCTGTCGAACGCGCTTTCTGGAGAAGAACAGTTAACTGGTGGTAAAACTCATCCTTGATTGCATCCGGGTTGCAATCTGTCGTGGCATAGGCGGAGATGACGAAAAGACACCGTTTCTCACTCCGGTTTCTTCTCACTTTGATGGAACTTTCTAATCTAACAGCACATAACCGACTGTTAATGGGGATCCAATCGATTAGTGCTGCCTCAGCTCTATCGCTTAGTGCGACACCAACGCCAGCAAGACCAGACGAAGATGCCGCAGGGTCCCCGGATAAGCGCACGTGAAACAAGCTTTTCGAAGCGACAGATGGAGAGCGGATTTGTAGTACTTCACTAGAGTCTTGAATACGGGTCTCGGATAGACAACAAACATCAACATTAAGACTTTCCAAAGACATAGCCAGCCCTATCTGTTGTCTGATATGCATTAGTGTGCGAACGTTGAAGGAAGCCAGCTTGAACGGCGTACGTGGTTTCAGAAAAACTGCTTCAGTATTCGTAATCGGTGGAAGCATTCACTTTCAACCAGACAGTGACTGGAGATCGTTTAGATAGGACAGATTTTCCACCAAGAGCGAGCTGCTGCATAAGATGAAAAGTAAGGTTACACAAATTGGTGATAAAAGGAGGTGAAAAAGCGATGTAGTAAATAATAGTAATAGTAATAATAATAATAATGCAAATTGAATTGTTTCTTGTATGAACGAGAATATAATTGTCAACTGAATGTTCCATTTCATTTATTTGCGAGAGGGCTGTGATACTGCCCGGGTGCCCAAACCGAAACAGGTGGTTTTCTTAGGGGCCCACACCCTGAGCCTTTGACCTAAAGGTCTAATCCACAAGGCAGTGGAGCATCGTAAGGAGATGCAGTCCCATGGTAACCGGTGACCAACGATTGGTTCATACGCCATTTGTTACTTCCGGATACTGGAGCCCATGTGCACCATTGGTTTGGAATCAGGGTTTTCCAACTCCCCTAGGTGGACCCTCCGTGTCCACCAACCCGGTTAAAGCGCCGTACATTCGCTTTTCGTCCTCTCAGTTTCGTAAACAACACCGCCACGAGAAGGCAGTGAGTAGGACTTCCCTGGCAGAGGCTCTATATTCGCTGGCCATGTGAGAGGATTTCGAGAGGGAGAGTGGACTCTCCCCACTCTCGGCCGTACCAAAGCATCAGGGGGCTCCCACTTTGTAGTTTTAGTTTGCCGTTTTTCGTTTCATAAAAACGTATATAGCTATCCAGTAAGTTATTTTTCTGTCACTATTTATCTACTGCTCCCTCCTAACTCCACATGTAGACCTTCTAGGGTTTCTGCTGGTCCCGAACCCGGGTTAAGGAAGAGTGCTGGGCATAGAATCAGCAACCCTGCCCTATAGAAAACAATCTTGCTAGAAAGACGCTCACCAGAAAAAACAAATTCAACCATTTAAACCCTGACCTCGGAGTTGAAGGATCTTCATTTAAAAGAATTATGACTCATGCTAAAAGCTGAGATTCTTCTTAAGTCACGAGGCCGATCCCCCTTCTAACAACCAGAGCAACAATCGATATAGGTACACGGAATGTCCGGACAACGCGAAAAATTAACTACCTGGGAAACTAGAAGATACAACCTGTCGGTTCTCGGGATAAGTGAAAACCATTAAGAACAGTAGCGATTATAAAGAACAGTTTTGTGAGGTTGTAACACATCGTACAGAAGAACCCAAAGAAGGACCTGATCTGAATACACTATAGCAGACAAGCAAGCAAAAGGGAGCATTAGAGCTGACAAGCAGAAATACGCAAAACACCTCATCAACACCACATCAACATCGAAAAAAGCTTGAAGAGAAAAGAATATGAAGCAACTATATGACACAACGAAGAAACTAGAAGGAAATATAATAAACCAGAGAGACTAGCCAAGAACAAAAGTGACAAGTCAATCACAGAGAAATAGATGGGTAGAAAACTTTGAGAAATTCTTGAACAGGCCAGCCCCATTGAATCCACCGGACATCGAAGCATCACCTATAAACCTTCCCATAATTGTCACTCCACTAACTATCGGAGAAACCAGGATGGTCATCGGACAAATCAAGTGTGAGAAAGCAGTAAGATCTGACAAAATACCAGCTGAAGCAATCAAGTCACACATAGAAGCAACTGCAAAGATGCTCCACTTTCTATTCAGGAAGATTTGGGAGGAAGAACAATTACAGACAGACTAGAATGAAGGATACCTCATCAATATACAAAAGAAAGGAAATCTGAGCAAGTGTGAGAACTACAGATGCATTACACTACTATCGGTACCAGGGAAAGTTTTCAACAGTGTTGCTGAACCGGATCTGAGATTCAGTAGACACCCAGCATCGAGATTAGTAGGCTAGATTCTGTAAGAACTAGTCATGCACAGACCAAATTGCGACACTACTGATCATCATTGAATAATCAATTGAATGGAACTCGTCACTATACATCAACTTCCTTGACTATGAGAAAGCATTTGACAGTGTGGATAGGAGAATATTATGGAACCTTCTTCGACACTATGATGTATCTGAAAAGATCGTTAACATCGTACACAATTCTTAGGATGGACTACACAGCAAAGCGGTGCATGGAGGACAGCTGACAGACACATTCCAAGCGAAGTCCAAAGTCAGATAAGGCTGCCTACTCTCCCCTTTTCTCTTCCTTCTAATGGTCGACTGGATTATGAAGACCTTCGCTTCTCAGATGAAGTACAGAATACAATGGACAGCTTTTTTGCGGCTAGACGATTTGGACTTTATAGATGATCTAACTCTTCTATCCCATGCATACAAACAAATGCAGGTGAAGACAACCAGTGTAGCAGCAGCCTCTGCATTAGTAGGCCTCAACATTCACAAGGGTGAGAGCAAGATCCTCAAATACAACGTCGAGAACGCCAAATCAGTCAGACTTGGTGGAGAAACTCTGGAAGAGGTGGAAACTTTGACACACCTGGTAAGCATCATCGATGAACAAGGAAGATCTGATGCAGATGTGAAGGCAAGTATTGGCAAAGCAAGAATAGCATTCCTACAGTTGAAGAACATATGAAACTCAAAGCGGCTGTCAACCAATATCAAAATCAGAATCCTGGTGATTAGTCTATACTCCTTCACGAGGGGTAACAGGTGTACGTTATTATAAATTGGTCATTTTATGTTGCTTGTCAAATCAACAGTATCTGATTTTATTTTTATTATTATCGTTTTATTACCAGCTATTAAATACTACAAATAATGGTAATCATTTATCTGCGATAATGTCTTCAAAGTTTCCACAAATTTCTGATATTGGCATTAAGAATTTACGGCATTTTGTATATAAATCTATTCCAATCGGCCAATATATTGCCAGTGAATGGACTGTGCCCTATGCTATCGCTTATGAATTATCAAAAGAATCTCCAGTTGGAATGGATCCCGAGAGAAAAACTAAACTTCTTAATGATAATGTTGTAAATAAATTACGTCATAATGTTTTGTTATCGTATAAACGACTTCATATGAGATTGCATTCCTCTGCAATACCAACAAGATTCATTTACAAAGTGACAAGTACCGAATTATTTTTTGGCTGGGTTAGTTGACTAGCTTTGTGTTTTTTTGTTTTACACATAAATGGAATTCACACGATGATGATTTAGTGTTATTGATCAACATTTGATCTACTTTACTGTTTTATTTTGAGTAATTACAACCTAATATAATTGTTTATGAAGTGTTAATTTAACGATTTGCAGTGTTATCATTTGTGCATCTATAAAAAGCCTATAAATTTAAATAAATTAGGTTATTTAAAAAGAAATCAGGTAAAGAAATAAGCTATGTTGACAACTAAATACATTTGTCATATACGTGATAGATGATACACATTCTTTCTATACACAAGCCTAGCTACTCGACAGAAATTCCGGAGAATGAGAAAATAAGTTTATTTGTCTGAACCACATAAAATGTATGTGTACTCACATATAAATTTAAATCTATGTTTATATTTCCCTTAGGAAATATGTCCCCCAGTCAATCACATCTACTTATCATTTGCTGATTTCTGATTGACCTTTTGCATTAAATGACATTTAATAACCTTATCAATAGGTTCAAAATATGACCAATATTCATTGAAGGAATGAACACATATTGGTATACTCATGTAACGAGTTCTAAACGAGGAATAATTTTAAATAGGTATGTTATAAAATGTGGACTGGTAGCCTAATGGTTATAGAACTTGAATTGTAGCCAAGTATGTCACAGGTCCGCAGCCTGTTTTACCTATTTCTAATTGGTAAGCTGGGTAATATCAATGACTTTTACACATAAGTAGTATCTCCCATAACCGGTTATGTCATTCTGTTCTTGGTATAAAAATCACATTATTATCATTCATTATGTTATAAAACATTGAATCTGGAAGTGCAAATGATATACTGTCACTTATTTGTATATATTTTAAATGTATAATGAAATCTTACGGTTTACTTTTTTTAAATGAATATCCAGTCAATTAAATCTTGATATTATGGTTAAATAATTATCATGTTTACTCAAGCTAGTTTATAACAATTTATTATAACAAGTATCTACCTACCTTTCATGGTTAAACTATTTTACGAGAGCCACAAGTGGCCAATTTTATCGTAGCAATTTTTTTTATTTATTCAATCTCTATATTGTAAATTTACAAGAGGTGGTCCTTCATCAAATAATATTTTATTAACTAAATTAAATTGAAATTTACCGCTGATAATATAGTAAATATATTCAATATGATGAATTCATTAAAATAGATTCATCTATTCAAGTAAGATTTCTTAGATATTTATTGATTAACAAAGTTTTTGAAATAATACAAAAGAAGATGGTAGATGAAAAATACTTAAGATAATAAGAAGAATTAGATAATATAACTATTGCTTTAAAAAATGTTAAAATTTCTGTTATGACTTTATAAAATAAAGGACGTATGCTAATTCATTATTGATTTTTATGTTCGGCTTTTATCACATGGATTATCCACCAATCGAAATACAACTTTTCTAATCTTAACACTGTGCTAAATCAATGACGTTCAACTGGTATGAGTAGTCTAGCGTCCTTATTGGTCCTTTGACCGTCCAGAACACCAGTTACAGCTTCTGCTATGCGAATCTACGCGAATCATTTATTTCAAGCATACACTGTTTATATACCAGACAGACAGACCGCGCATCACACCATAAAATAGAAAATAATATTTGTAATAAGATCGAGCCAAATGTGACTGTGAACGTGGGATACAATAATCAATAAACTGAATATAATTTAGGGATAGTAATTTGTATAATAATAATTCATAGGTCAAAATGAAGCTTATAATAGGATGCATATATAGATATACACAATTTAGTTACACAATACTTAAACAATAAGAATATACATAGAATAACCGTCCATTAATAGATCCCGGAAATCACCCATACTCATGTCTTCGCTAGGATATAACAATTTCACTAATATTTCTGTATGTAAATGCATGTACTCATGATACCAATTCAAATTTTTATATACCTTCTTTTTTTTCTCTATAGAAAACAGATAATTTCGAATTGTATGCCACATTAGAACCATTGATTACAATAACAGAATTAGGTGAAATTCGTAAACAATTATTAAAATGGATTGAATCAAAGAAAACACAATTTTTTATTTTATCATCTCCAACATTTTAAATTTGTTATTTATCTTATCAATACTACTTATTCAGTTTTTACATTCAAAAATGTATCACCACCTATTTCATTATTTCATTATAATAATGTGTTATAATATTGAATATTTATTTTAAACTAATTTGGAAAGTTTTAATCATCTAAAAGCACATTTAGAAGCTGTTCAACATTAATTCTAGGTTAATAGTTCATATTCAAATATTATATTAAATAATTAGATTGTTTAACTTAATGTCGATTGACAAACTATTAAGTTTATATTAAGATTTATTAAGTGAACTTTATAATGATATTTTCCAGGTAATTTTATTGTTTCTTACAATCCCTATAATAGAACTTGCAATAAGATATATATAGAGTTCATTCAATTTCAAATACAATATTTCATCTGTAAAATGCTAAAAACATTAATTCATAACATATTAGCTTACTGATTATTAAAAATCTAAGTATTGTCTATAATTTATTCTATTTAAACACTAAGTTAATAGATAAATGTCTTTTGAATATACATAGTGTCGTTAAGACCTCCTAATAATACTTAACAATTAATCTTTTCCCATCTAAAGTGGAAATTATCCAAACAAATTAATATCACAATTGGTTGATCACTGGGTGGTGATCAATGTCATGCGTGTCAAGTCCTTCTTAGTGCTGATCGAATGCTATCGATCAAGTTGCAATGTGGCCACTAGTCTAAATGGCTCCACACAGCGTGCACTATGTTGAGATAAGATGGTGGTCAACAGGAAACCCTGGACCCGGGTTTCGTGATACTTGGCACTCGTCAGCAAGGTGTACCTGTAATCTTGAGGGAACTGGTGCCCCCTGACGGATTCGATCCTGCGTCACCCAGCTTCACAGTCAGAAACGTTACCACTGAGCTATTCGGGCCGCGACCGACCTCTTGTAGGACTGAGATGTAGTCACAATTGATTGATCACTGGGTGATGATCAATGTCATGCGTGTCAAGTCAAATTAATATCTATAATTCTATGTTTTATATTATCATAACAGCGTCAGTTCATTCACCTAGTAAACATTTTGTGATGTAATAAAGATGGTACTCAATTAATGCAAAATCTTTCATCAATCAAAAGATTTAATTATCATAGTTTCATAATTTACGAAAACAATTGAATATTATGATACAGTATACAGGTGTGGAGTGGCATTAATGTTTCTGTCAGGAAAAAAAACATGTTCTTTCATAACTATCACTAGAAGTTTACATAAAGTTTTATTATAACGCTGAACTCTGGAAACTCAGATCATAGGGTAGGCTTAAAGAAGACGTATCTTCTGCTTACAACATTGAATTTCCTGCATCAATTGTTGGAGACGTTAAATCCCCAGAATTCACTTGGGAAAGATCCTAATTTTATTCTGAAAATTTGAATTTTATGTTTCCGCGTCAAGAAACGCTTAGTTGACCTACAGCTTACATTTCCAACTCGGAATTCCTTGACTGTCATTGGTTGACGGATTTTTTTACTGCGCTATTTTGTGACTCTCCCAAGAGCGTTTCTATCATTGTATAAATAAGCTTGATTCGTGTGCTTAGTGACCTCGTATTTTGTGGGTGCTTGTAGAATGCATTATCTACACCTCATCAAGACTTCTTGATCTAGTTAGCAGGACAGGTAACAACGGATTAGAATGATCCTATCGTGTCACTGTGTCATTGACCTTCTTCCCGTTTACCGAGTATGGTGAACTCGTGATGGCATCAAGTATATCATTAATATTTTATCACTTTCTACTTCCTTGAAAACTTTCGATTTAGGAAATCAAGGTTCATTATAAAAACTTATATCTGTTAGTATTATTGCGAGTAATAAAAAATATCACTTGTAAACTTACAATATGTACGTCCGATCAACATATCTCACATAAAAATTCAAAGTTTGTACTGTAAACAAACAGTTGTTAATCCGATAAAATGAATAAAAACATAGTCGATTTCTTATCAAGCTCATTAGTTGTTTAACATTAATGTGGTACATAGACAATCCTTGATGTTCATTTTGTCGCAACACGATTATCGAAGTTGGCTGGTATTGGAATTATGTAATTGTCTATTTATTACTGCTTTATAAGGATTAGATTGTGAATTACGAAGATTCGATGAGCGTTATGCTTAATATTTTACTCAACAATCGTATTATCTTCACCGTCGTATAGATTGTAATCGTAGCTTTAGAAATGATAGATAATAATACCAACTGTCACAGAGAAATCAGCGCGCATAATACCATTGTCGAAAAATCACATTTACTAGTAATAACTCATATTTACGGTAGACTAATTTATTCTGATCGATTAAATTCTCTTAATAATAATTTATTACTAGTAAAGAATATTTAGTTGTATTAGAAAAAACAGCAAGTTCTAAGTTATACTCTATAGTATGTATGCACTTTCGATCGATATCTTTAAGTAGTACTGTGATTCTGTAAATAACTAAAAATGATATTTAAGAGTGTAGGTGACTGAGATAGTATCATGTGATCATCACGTTGTTTTGGGAATCGACTATTGTTGCAAATCAATCTGTCCTGACTTAATAACAACCTACAACTCATGATTTCCGATTGTTTGTCTTCATAATTGGTTTATATTCTTGCTTAATTATATCTTTGGGCTATAATTTTATCCTTACGTAGTAAATTTATATGGTTTTTGGTAACTGGACTCCTCATTACTTGTGTTTGTTAATTATTCTCCTTCTACTGCTTTTCATAAAATTTCTGTAATTTCAGAGATATTATGGCTTTTAATTTCGGGATTTTACACGTAGATATATCCCTAGGTAAGACTTCACAAATAGAAACTGTAACCAGAAAGATTTACAAGAAACGTTTTCCTTTTGACTCAATTTATTCACTTAGTCTCAACAATAGTAAATTTAAAATAAATGCCACCAAGCACTAAAACTTTGCACCATATACCACTGAGTATATGACATTATTTATTTTTGGTGGAAACACAGTGGTGTAATCTGGATGTAAAAATTAATTGATGAATACTGTGTGCCTATCTAGGTGACAGTAGAAGTAATTAAACTTCAATAGTTTACCATCTTTTGAAACAAGCAACCATCTGCCACAAAGAATTGACAGTCAACTGGTCGTTGAATTGATTGAGAATAAGTCTCAGGAGCGATATATACAGATTGTAAAGGTTGAATACATGGATTTTTTCAAGTCTTAGATGTGTAAGAACGTACATCGTCTTATATTGCTCAGGTACAGCTTATACATGGATGTTAGATGGTTGGAGTTAGTCAAATCGGGTCACTGGATGTGGGTTTCGAGATAGCTTGTACCTATTACAAAAGCGTACCGTAAATCTTGAAGGAACTAGTACATTATGTGATGTTTGAACATGCGTTACTCAGCTTTAGAGTTTGAGAATTTACCACTGAGCTATTTAAGCGGCAACTGATCTCCTGTAAGATATACATTTTCATTAATTGATCACCACACACTAAACGCAGTCATATTTGTCTTTTCCCTGATCGAAGTCACTCGGTCAAGTTATCGTTACTTTTGTCAAACATCGGTTATTGTTAGTCACGACACATCAGAAATTCGATTGTTTCCAATTCGAGATATCATAAAATGTATAAATTCTTTGTCAACTTCATTGTAGCTGTGAATTCAACACTGCGTTTACTTCTAGAACATTGTTTCATGGCCAATTTTAAGAATACTTCAACCAACAACTGATAGTTTCATTAATACAAAAAATACATAGATGACACTTTCATGATTTGCTATAGTAATAGTGCCCTTAATTTCACCCTGAATAAGTTTTGGTTGGAATCAAGGTGGAATTCAGAATTTCACGTCCTCAATGTCTTATTAAAATGACGACCAATTGGTGCATTACAAAGATCGATATATTGAAAACCAACATGGAATGGACAATATACAAATTCTCATAGCTTGCTGCCGTTAAACAAGAAAAGAAACCTTATTCAATCTTTATCATCAAGGGTTAAGCAAATATGCTCTGAAGATACGATAAACTGGGAACTATCCAAACTGTAATAAATATTCATAAAAGTTACTATCCATCCACGTTTGTTAAAGGAATCATGAAAAGCTAAACTACAATCTTCTAAGACTTCCTATAATTCATGAAAGAACCCTTTTCATGAACATTGAGTTCAAGGGAGATTCTGCTGAAGAGCTTTTGAAAAACCGTCCAACGAAATTTGCGAGAAAAACATTTTATTCTGCTAAGCTTCTCATTGTCTTTTCCAGCCACCCTGTCATTCGTGGATACGTAAAAAATGAACTATATCGTTGGGCCACATTAAGGTGCATTTTTAAGTTCACTTGCTCCCTTGGAAGCGGTTACATTAGTTTCACAAAGCAAACGCTTTCTAAACGAATCTCCAAACATTATCTTGAGTGGCTTTCGAAAGACGAATGTGAAACTATCAATCGTTCTATAACGGAATATCGTGCAAACTTTGGTCCCGTGGCTCTACCTGATAAGTCTTTCGGAATAATCTGTACAGTTAAACGAATCAGCTCGAAAAAAGGCAAATTAATAAGCTGTGCACTTTACAGGCGTTAGCGATTCATCCAACTTGAACTCTATGTAAAAGAGACACGTGAATGCAATCATTCTTACATTACCCTAGCAGCTAATCTTCATCCTTCTAATGTTCTAATCTTCTTAATTTTATTCGTTTGTTATAATCTCCAACTTTTTATTCCAGTCTTCAACCCTCTCAACGAATTCCTTCGTAGATGGTTTTATTCTACTTACTATTATTTCCCATACTCTTGGTACGTCTAATTTTCTTCACGTTCTTCCACCTATTTTTTCCCCAATTGTCCAATTATCTGAACAATTCTTTTTATGTAATCTAATAGATTTTATGAATGGTATTTCAGCATCTATATTTTTCAAATCAGTTACCTAATGCCCATTATTAAACATGGATACAATTCTTTATTATTCTTATCACAACTAGTACACCTGTCATCACACTACCAGTTTTTCCTCTGTACTTATTAAGCTTATTTTTGTGATATACTCCATTGTTATCACTGAATCATAAACTACCTTGATTGGTTCAATAATTTCGTGTATGCATATAAATATTACTGTATATAAGAGTAAAGTCTGATGACGATCTAATCGAGAAGTGGACAATTATCTCTAACAGATTTTATTTCATCTTATTATTCATCCTCAAATTTTCGATCATTTATCAACTTTCTTTGATATGATGTAATCATTCTTCTATTTTTCAATAGACCATTTCATTTGTCACTTTAATATAAATAATATTGTGCAGCTTTAGTAAATGATGTCATCGAATACATAATTTTCTTCACTCCATCGTCTCTAATTTGTCTTCAATGATAACATGTGTCACTTTCCTTATTAGTTATACTTATTCTAGCTTTGAAATAAAGGATCGCGTAGCTAATATTAGCTTCCTTTTATTATCTTCACTGTGTTTATTTTATCTATTTATACCATATTCGACAAGTTAGTTTGCAATATGGCATGATTTATATTTTCATTGCGATACAGAAATTATGAATAAATTTTATCAGAAAATTTTGTTTACTTAAAATTATGTAGTAGTTTCGCAAGA